TTTTTGCTCAATCCAGTTGTCATTTCAGTCAGTCCTATATGACAGGAATAGAGATGATCATGTGATCACAAACTGTCTGGTCACTAGCAACCTAGAAGGATTAACTAGGCAGAGGACATCTGCTAGACTCCAGAGATCTGAGGAAGCTATGTAAAATCTCCATTGCTAAAAATCACCAATGGCTACTACAAAAGCACATATAGCTTGTGTTATATTTATATTGGACAGTGCTAATCTAGACAATGAAAATAAGGGTTAAGAAAATGTTCCCAATAGGCTGAATGCTACCAAGGTAACAAAAAGAAAACCTAACGGGAAAATATTTTGTGGTCATGTCCACAGCAAATGGGAAATTGCTTTCTAAAAGCCTTGGTAATGAACATATTTCATCACAACTTCCAGAGCAATTTACTTTGTTGCCAGTTGCCAGCCCCAAGGTCCGGCATAGTAAAGTGCTGAGAAGGTGAACTTGGGAAGCACTCATGCCCCTGAGGTCGTTTCCAGGGAGCAGAGGATTGGTTTTTACCAGGGGCACACCAAAACCCAGAGGTGCCAGGAGTTAGGTGTTCTGCGGAAATGGAAAAGGATGATCAATTCTGATCAATTGTGTTTCTACTTACTATTTCACTTTAAGAGAACTGTTTTTAAGAATAGAGAACTTTATTAAAATTTTGGAAAACTGGTGTTATACTGGCACAGGTTGGAAAATGCTGTCCTAGACGTAGACAGCACAATTCCAGAGAAATGACTATAACGAACACTTCGAACACCAGACCAGAGGCGCCTGCGTTGCCAGCCTGACCCCCCTCCCAGTGTGCCACCGAAGCAGTGAGGGCCACTGAATGGGATAGAAATGTTCTTAACCAGTGTCTTTGTCCTGTGAATTGAGTGCTGAATGGGTAGTGTATCCACCTCTTGGCTTATTGAAAAGAAAACCTGCCCAGCTGGTGTGGCTCAGTGGTTGAGCGTCGACCCCTGCACCAAGAGGTCGCCGGTTCCATTCCCAGTCAGGGCACATGCCCAGTTTGTGGGCTCGATCCCCAGTGGGGGGCGTGCAGGAGGCGGCCACTCGATGTTCTCTCTCATCGATGTCTCTCTCTCTCTCTCCCTCTCCCTCTCCCTTCCTCTTTCTCTCAAATCAATAAAGAAAATTTTTTTTAAAAAAAACAAAGAAAACCTTTCGAGTGCCTGCTCTGTGCCTAGCTCGGTTCTCAGAGATACGGGACAAAAGTGACTGAGTGAGATATAGACATATACCACAGATCCCAGTTCTTACCTTTTCCAGGTACCCCTTTATGTTCTCTTTTTAGCTGCCAAGGTGACTTGAATTCTATTCTTTAATGTTTAATTTTTAAAGAGAATTCTGGTCTCTTGGAGCCCGATGGTATTAGCTATGGAAATGTCCCAAAATGAAGTGCATGGGTGGGGGTGGGGGTGGGGGTGGGGTGGATTTAAGGATTATAAATTCCTCTCAGTTCGAATAATCAGGTATAGTTAGTCAAGAGCAGGCTGGTTTGCCTTTCTGCTGCACAAACAAAATTGCCTTTTCCTAACGCCTCTCTGCCGAAAGGAAAAGATGGCCTGCCAATAAGCCAGTTCACAGAATTGCCTTTTGTGCTGAGATTCCCTCCCAAGCCTAAGAGTTTGTTTGTTTTCTTTTTCATTTTATTTTTCCCTTTGCTGTTTTGGAAGTTATGTTACTCTTGTTATTCTTATTGTGGTTACCCCAGAGATTTTAACCTGTAGATTTAATTCAATGAAATTGAAAATCAATCAACAGTTTAGCTGTGCTCCAGAATAAAATTATTCCAGAATAGAATAATTTAATCATATGAAAGTCTTCTGCATGTCCACGCCTGGCTGCCCAGTGCTTTATCGCTATCGTATTTGTTTAACTCCCCAAGTATACATTATTATGTTAGTTACATACAGCCCATGTGTGTTCAGGCTAACTCACATTTCTTCTTGTATCTCAGGTCTTCCTTCTAGGATTATTTTCCTTCTTAAATTTATCTTTTGGAAATTCTTTTGTTGCTGGTTTGTGGAAATAATCTGTCCCAATTTTTGTGTTTTAAAAAAAAATTCTTTTTTGCCCTCTAAATCAACCGATATTGGTTTAAAGATATTATTGTGCTGACTTCAGGCTTCTATTACTACATTTGAAAAGTTGGCTGCTTTTTAATTGTTGTTCTTTTACTAGTAATCTCTTCTGTCTAGCTGCTCTCAGGTCACTGTATCTTTTTCTGTAGTGAGATTTCCATGCGTTTAAAAAAGTTTTTCTGTTTTATTTTTTATTGATTTTTAGAGAGAGAGGAAGGCAGAGGGAAAGAGAAACAGCGATGTCATCAGTTGGCCACCTCCTGCTCGCCCTCTACTGGGGACTGAGCCCAAAACCTGGGCATGTGCCCTGACCTGGAATCGAACTTTTCAGTGCAAACTTTCAGTGCGCAGGAGGACGCCTAGCCAACTGGGCCACCCCTAACCAACTGGGCCACACCGGCTATGGCTCTTTTCTTTTTAAAAATTTGCCCAGCTGATCATGCCCTGGGCTCCTGAGTCTGAAACATCCTCAGCTCTGGAAGAGCATGAACTTTTCCGATATTGCATCTCTCCTCCATTCTCTTATCGCCTCCTTCAGAAAACTTTATTTTATTGTTGACGGTATTGCAGACATCTCCCATTTCTTCCCATTTGCGTGCCTCCACCTCTCCCCAGCCCGTCCCAAACTTTAATTAGACACAGTGTCTAATTCTCACTCTTCTCTTTCCTTTGTTCCACTTTTCTGAGACATGTGTCTCCCAGTTCATTAATGAGTGTCTTCACCTGTGTGCAGTATGTGGTTTAACTTGTTTATCTAATTTCAATGGCCACATTTTTTTTATTCCTACAAATTTTATTTGCTTTTTGTTTTTTGGATCGGCTTGGTCATTGTTGATGGTCTTTTGTTTTTCCATTATATTTTCGATGTCCCCTTTTAATTTCTTGTGATGAACATGATGCATGTTTTAACATTCTTTTTTGGGTCCGTACCTGCTATTTTCAATATTTGCCATATTTGATTCTGCGGGGTTTTTTTTCATTCAACTCTCAGCCATTGCCACCTGCTTGCTGTGTGTGTTGCGTTGGGAACTCATGTTCCTCAGATGCGTAACTCGGGGACTCTCGGAAGCCTGTGTTAGCACGTTCCTTGGAGAGAATTGTGTCTGCCTCTGTGCACTTGGGTCCTGCCGGAGCAGAACCACTTTGAGCTGGAGTGTTTTGGGTCGTGTGTGGTCACATCCGTAATGTGAATTTGAGCCCCAAACCTTTGTGAGTACGGGTCTGTTGATAAGAATTTTCCAGTGAGATATTTTTAGTTATTTCCACTGTACCCAGAGCCAAGGATGAGACAGGCGAGTGTCCTGCCATCTCTGTCTGCTTGGTGTTTTTGCCCACAATACACCTACTTTGATCTGACCTCCACCCTGTTTGGATCCTATACTTTATCTCTTTTCCCAGCAGCCTCCTGTAAATAAATGCTTTAGTGCTGGCTTATCTCTCTGGCTTTGAGCTTTCTTGGCATTTCTAGCCTTTAAGAATTTCCTCTCAAGGCAGCCTGTTTTATTTATTTATTTATTTATTTTATCATCCTCACCCGAGGACATTTTTCCATTTTTTGTTCAGATAGAGCGGGAGGGAGAGAGAGGAACAGAGAGAGAGAGAAACATCGACGTGAAAGGGATACATCGAGTGGTTGCCACCCGCACAACCAACCAGGGCCGGGGACAAACTGCAACCGAGGTACATGCCCTTAGCGGGAACCGAACCCGGGTCTCTCCAGACCGCAGGCCAATGCTCTAACCGCTGAGCCAAACCAGCCAGGGCCCAAGGCAGCCTGTTTTAATGCATTATTATTATTTTTAAAATTATACCCACTATTTTTTCTAGACATCTGTTTTGGAATGCTGTTAGAAACTGAAGCCCTGGTGGTCCATATATGCATTTTCATTTTTCACATCCAGCAATATTGATGGAAAAAGGGACTTCACAGATTCCCAGTTGAACACTCTGTGATAAGACCATGGATTTATTTGGACATAAAAATGCAGAAAACTTGTGTAGGAGATTACCTTTGACTGGAAGAGGCGGGAGTGATTAAAAAAAAAAAAAAAAGAGTGAAAGATACCTGCTTGAAACTATCCAGTTCTGTTTTTAAGGTATTCTATAATGACACTGTTTTGGAGTGGTGATAGTAATAAAAAGGCTCCACACTGAGTGTTTTATTCTTTTTAGGCTGTATCTCTCACTATGTAGTTTAGTAATTTTCTAGGATTGTTAAGAATGCCATTTCATTAAAGGATAGTGGGTTTGAAAATAGGCAGCACTATGTTCTTGTGTATTGAAAGCGTTAGCTGGACTTCTTTATTTTTATCAAAACAAATTTTTAAATCTTTATTGATTTTAGAGAGAAAGGAAGGGGGAGAGAGAGAGGGAGAGAGAGAGAGAGAAACATTGATGAGAGAGAACATTGATTGGCTGCCTCCTGCATGCTTCCCACTGGGGATTTGGCCCACAACCTGGGCATGTGCCCTGACCCGGAATTGAACTGGTGACCTCTTGGTGCATGCGTCAATGCTCAACCACTGAGCCACACCGGCTGGGCTAGCTGGACTTTATATATATATATATATATCTCCTCACCCGAGGACATTTTCCCAGTTTTTGTTCAGACAGAGTGGGAGGAAGAGAGAGAGAGAAACATCGACGCGAAAGGGACACATCAAGTGGCTGCCACCCGCACGACCAACCAGGGTTGGGGACAAACTGCAACTGAAGCACGTGCCCTTAGCAGGAACCGAACCCGGGTCTCTCTGGACCTCAGGCCGACGCTCTAACTGCTGAGCCAAACCGGCCAGGGCCAGCTGGACTATTTTATGTTGAGGTATTTTGAACTATGGCTTTTTTGCTAGCATTGAAATGTTGTGGTTTTAATCAGATTGTCTTTGCTTGTTTTGAAACAGGCCCCAGGTATGGAAGAAGTGATATGGGAGCAGTACACCGTGACCCTACAGAAGGTGAGAGCTGCTCACTTCATACGTGCCACAGTCACATTCTTGAGCTTACAGATCACAGCTCTCGCTTACTCGGCCCCGAGCGCAGACTCCCCTTCCGGTGCACAGTGCACTGCAGGCCGCCGCTGGCAGCAGTCACCGCGTCCACAGAGCTCTGCATGCCACCACATCTCCGTTGTTGTTAGCGCCTGGCTAATAGGCAGTTCTGGATTATGTAGCATACCCTCCTATCCCCACACAGAACAGGTTGTGAGAAAATAGAGAAAGAGAGGGGAGGAGTGGACATAACCTGTACTGTTCAAGGACATCGAGATAACCTCTACAACTCTTATCATTTTGATTATAATGTACAGAAAACTTCACTCCCTCCATGAGTTTGAAGTTGAAACTGAATTTTAAAACATTGGTTGAGCAATAAGGAGCAATTAATATAATCAGTCCTGGTTATATTAAGAAGTGTTGAGTTAATTTGATTTTAAAAATATCCCTCCTACTTAGCCCTAGCCGGTTTGGCCTGCGGTCCGGAGAGACCCGGGTTCGGTTCCCGCTAAGGGCACGTACTTCGGTTGCAGATTGTCCCCGGCCCTGGTTGGTCATGCGGGTGGCAGCCACTCGATGTGTCCCTTCACGTCGATGTTTCTCTCACTCTCTCTCTTCCTCTCTCTCCCTCCCACTCTATCTGTATAAAAAATGGAAAAATATCCTCGGGTGAGGATAAAAAAAAAATATCCCCCCTACTCAACAGTATTGAAGGTAGAAGTAATACCATGTGTAAATATATTTTACTTCATTGTAAAAGTCATTTTACAGGTATTGCTCCTCTTGATTAAATGAGATAATAAGAACAGCTTCCAGGACAGGGAGTTTAGCATGAAGCCGTTGTTTCCTAAATGTTAGCTCCTTCCTTTTTTTTTTTTATCCTCACCCGAGGACATTTTTTCCATTTTTTGTACAGATAGAGTGGGAGGGAGAGAGAGGAAGGGAGAGAGAGAGAAACATCGACGTGAAGGGACACATCGAGTGGCTGCCACCCGCACGACCAACCAGGGCCGGGGACAAACTGCAACCGAGGTACGTGCCCTTAGCAGGAACCGAACCCGGGTCTCTCCGGACCGCAGGCCGACACTCTAACCGCTGAGCCAAACTGGCCAGGGCAGCTCCTTCCTTTTTATTCTGACAGCAGATTCCAAGGTTAGGCAGGGTGGGTGTTAAGCCCACTCTAAACAAACATGGCCACCGAGAGTGGTTTCTGTGCAGCTTCGTGGTCCCCAGGTCTTACCCCATCGAGCCTCCTTGGTCAGCATCGCAGTGATTTCCTGGGCCCTGCAGGGGTCTTATTCCTGCTCTGAGTTCCCCCAGTCTGTCTGTCACTTCTCAGAGGAACTGTAAGTTCCTCAAATGGAGTCTTCCTTCTGCAACTTCAAGCCCTGTCTTGAGTGAAAATTTGGTTTCTGAGTGACCGTGTATTAAATTAATCCAGGTAGGAAAAAAAAATCAGTGCTCAGTGCTGAAACTTCTGGGGGCAATCCTGGTTTCATGAGTTGCGGGGTTCCCCCGTGCAGGCCTCATTTTTCACTTCTCGTCATCTTCTGACTCTTCTCTGTGCCCTTCCACCAGCATATCCCATGCCCCTTGAGGTGTGGACCCCAGTTTGGCAAAGTGAGAGACACGTTAGGCCTGGTACAGAGGATGGAGCTTCCTCTGTGTAAAACCAGGAGCGAAGTGATGGTGCTGCCAGATTCCAAGTCGTGGGATTAACGGCCAACCAGCCTGTTCTGTGTTGGGAATTGTCACCAGTGGGCTTAGCGGGCTTCACGTGGGGACTTCTCTTGGGGAGAAATTTTTTATTCTCTGAGTAAAATAATCAAACCCCGCGTTAGGGTTATAGTCACATGTACCCGTATCATCTGGATGGTACCCGGGGGCCCAGCTTTTGTATACACTGAAATGGACTAGGATTCTGCGTTATCTGGGCTCACAGTTACTCCTCTTGACCATGGAGGTGATTAATCTGTGTTTCCATCGAATGTGCACGTGGAAAAGAATTCAGTGCTTTGCCGTCTCGTGAGATCTCAGAACTACGTTTATCTTCAGATTGTATTCTGTCTTTAAAATCCATTTAGTTCTTTTTTACCCTAGATTAAAATGGGCCCATCAGCCCACCTAACCTGGGAGTTAAAGGTGTACTTTAAAATTTCGGTTTTAGCACAAATTCACGTGTGCCCGGAGCTGTTCCAGCTCCGGCCAGGACAGGAGAACAGGTAGGGTACGGCCCTATTTGGACAGAAATTGTCATTTCCCGTCCCCTGCCAGCTTCCAGTGATTACCGCAGTCTGTGCTGTAAATCTTTGCCAGCCTTCATAAGGCTGTTTGTTTTAGATAAGGAATTTCCCTTTGTAATCCTGTCAGCTGAGCACGATGCTGCCTGATTGTGTTTCTGTAAGCCCACTCTGCCTGGGCTGTCTGCCCCTGATTTTATTGAGTGCTTGTAAGAAGTCCCGAAAGCCACTTATGGAAGGGTTGTTTTCATTTCCAGTCATTAATTATTTGACTTATTTACTTATTTTCTCTTACCCTCAATGAATAGGATTCCAAAAGAGGATTTGGAATTGCAGTGTCTGGAGGTAGAGACAACCCCCACTTTGAAAACGGAGAAACATCCATCGTGGTTTCTGATGTGCTTCCCGGTGGGCCCGCCGATGGGCTGCTTCAGTGAGTGTCTTCCCTCCCGCCCAGCCCTGCCAGCCCCACTGCATGGCCCCAGGCGGGATGCTTTGGGTGATGTGCACTGTTAAAAAATTTTTAAAAAAACATATATATGTGTGTGCTTTTATATACAAATATATGAATATATATGTGAATTAGGACCATAACATACCAGTCCTTTGGGAACATCCAAACTTTGGAGGAAGGAGAGCAGTTGTTTCCTTAGGAAGGTAGTTATAAATAACTATAATTCCTGGGTGTAGGGACCATTTCTGAACATGGAATATAGAATTGGCATTCCCCTCCCTCCAGTGCTTACCCAACACTGTTTGTTATTTATTTTAAAATATATTTTTATAGATTTTAGAGAGAGAGGTGAGAGGTGGAGAGAGAGAGACATTGATGTGAGAGACAAACATGGATTGGCTGCTTCCTGCACGCTCCCCGATTGGGGATTGAACCTGCAACCTGGGCATGTGTCCTGACCCGGAACTGAACCAGTGGCTCACCGGATGATGCTCAACCAACTAAGCCACACTGGCTGGGGCAACACTGTTTTAATTTATGTTAATTAAGAATTGAATGAGGATACTCTGGCTTAATGATTATGAGATTTGTAAAAGGGATATAGACATTGGGAAATTTTACTGCATGAAAACCTAAGTTTTCCAGCTGCTACCCTTCTGGTCTGAAGAGATAATACCATTTGAAAAAATGCATATCTGAGTCCCTCAGCATCATTTCTCAGGGCAGAAGCTAAAGTCAATCACGTGACTGCCACAGCCAGACTACTCCAGAGTTTTGTTCCTATTGGCATTCTAAGTCTCCGTGGTCCTATCAAAGTTAGAAGTGTTTCAGAGAGCAAAGCAGAATTTTAAAATGATTTCTGAGATGAGATAAAGTACGAGTTAGGGTTCTGTGACCTCAAAATTTCTTCAAGAATTTGAGGCAGCCGGACCACTGTGGCTCAGTGGAGTGAGCATTGTCCCATGGACTGAGAGGTCCCGGGTCGATTCCCCTTCAGGGCACATGCCAGGGTTGCCGGCTTGATCCCCAGTAGGGGGCATGCAGGAGGCAGCTCATGGATGTTTCTCTCTCACATTGATGTTTCTCTCTCTTCCTGCTTCTCTCTCTAAAAGATCAATAAAAACATATTAAAAAGAATAATTTGAAGCAAGCTCTTGACTTCCTCCTATCCAAAACACAAGTGGATATAAACCTTCTTTGAGGGGTTTTTGTAGACTTTCTGAAGCCCACTATGCACTTGGGGTAAGGAGGCCTGAGGCAGTTCCTCTGTGTTCAGACCTCCCGTTGTCAGGTGGCCCCTGGAGGGACCCTGTAGTGGGGGCCCTTCTCCCCTGCTGGTTTCCAGTAGACACACTCAGAAGTGGGCTGAAGGACTCCTGGGTTCCTTCCCCAGGAGAGCTCAGACCATGTCGACGGAGTAAGCCTTGGGAGTCATCGAACACTGAGCCCTTTAATAAGTATTTCAGGTCAATTTGCTGCCTCTGTTTATTCCTAAGTAAAAGATGGACAGTAAATAGATGAGTTGCTCACATCCATTTTGTTTTGTTTGCAGAGAAAATGATAGGGTGGTCATGGTTAATGGCACCCCCATGGAGGATGTCCTCCATTCGTTTGCTGTTCAGCAGCTGAGGAAAAGTGGGAAGATCGCCGTCATCGTAAGTTCTGGGTTTGTTTCAACTCGCCTCTGTAGAATTTCATTTTTATGCCCAGGAGAAAATTACCACTTGCCTTTAAGCACTTGACATAATTGTATAATCCCGGGGCCGCTACCTCTTGCATCCCCAGTACTTTAGGAGGAGGATGTAATGGGTAATGTGAAGATATATGTAAATAATTCCTCCCTGCCTCTTTCTCCCAACTTCGTACCACCAATGATTCTTTTATCTGAGTGAGTTTGCCTTCAGAGCCAGGCTAGACAATGATTCCCTAGGAGAACGAACGAGATCGAGAACAATGGTAAAAGAGCCTTAACTTAGAAAATAAATTTTAGCTCGGAAACTCATTTGTAAAGGCTCAAACAAGGTCTGTTATAGCTTCATCAACGAGAGTTTCTTAGGAGACAGTGGCAGGCTATAGCATTCATTCATGTGCTCTCTCATGCATTTAGCAGACATTGGTTGAGAATCAACTGTGAGCCAGACGCCACTTGGCCCTGGAGCAGGTGTGTGCTGCCAGGAGTTCACTCCAGTGGGGCAGTGGACACACTGAGCGAGAGGTCAGTGTAGTGAGTGTAGGGCAATGCTAGGGAGATGCGCTGGGTATGTGGTGTTTCATTGCTTTTCAACTTTATATTATGAAAATAATATATTACTTCAAACAAAAGTTCAAAGAGCAATGTGATAGACACTTATATATCTTCTACATGTTTATATTCTGCCATATTTACTTATTTTTTTCTCCATGTGTCTATGTAAACACATATTTTTAGCGAACCATTTGAAGGGAAGTTGCAGGCACGACACTCCCCTTGTGCTGCAGCTCGCGTCTTCTAAATTCTTCTACATGACTACACAGCTCTCTCAGAAAATTAATAACAGCTCTATAGTGTCATCTAATATCCAGTCCATATCCTGCGATTTCTTTGATAGACCTTTTTCTTCCCCATGGGGTCTAATCAAAGTTCATTCATTGCATCTGGTCCTTATCTTTTGTCCTTTTTAATCTAGGAGTCCCCCCCCCCCCCATTACTGACTTTTGGGAGAATCTAGGCAGTTGTATAGAGACAGTCTCACTACCTGGATTTCCATTTTTATTCCTCAGTGATTGAAAGTCCCCCGGTACTTTTCACACTGAGTAGCAGCAGATTTTGGAGGCACTGTGTTGAGAGCTTTATACTGCTTGTCTGACTTTATTCTCAACCCAGTGAGGTCTTTTCTGTCCCCGTTTTCCAAAAGAGGAACTTGAGGCGTAGGGAGCAATTTTACTGGAAGGGGAACCAGAGCTTTTAGCCACTGCATTTTCTCACGTTTAACTGTGATTGTCCTACCTCCCCGCGGTGTTGTGGTCAACAGGTGGTCAAGAGGCCTCGGAAGGTCCAGCTGGCCCCGCTGCAGGGTGGCCTTCCGCTCAGTGAGGATGACCGGGCCTTTGAGGTGATGGATGACTTGGACCGTCGAAGTGCCCACAGTGGCTACAGTGACCGGTACAGCGAGAGGAGCCGGCTGCGCAGCTGGGAGGACAGCCTGGAGAGGGGCCACCCCCAAGACCGGCCGCGCAGCCGGGAGCAGGACCGCAGCCGCGGCCGGAGCTTGGAGCGGGGCCTGGACCACAACGACTACGGCCGAGCCCGAGACCGGAGCCGCGGCCGCAGCCTGGAGCGGGGCCTGGACCACGACGACTACGGCCGAGCCCGAGACCGGAGCCGCGGCCGCAGCCTGGAGCGGGGCCTGGACCATGACTATGGGCGAGGCCGAGATAGCGGGCGCGGCCGAGATAGCAGCCTTGGCCGCGGCATCGACCAGGGCTACGAGCGGGCCTACAGCCCGGAGGTGGAGTACAGGCACAGGGCGCAGCCCGACGCCCGGTACGAGCTGTCGCGGAGCCGCGAGCACCTCCGCTCGCGCAGCCCCAGCCTGGAGCGGAAAGGGCCGCCGGACCACGCAGGCCAGCCGGAGACAGACCGGCCCATCGGGGTCCTCCTGACGAAAAGCAAAGCAAATGAAGGTAGTTATGCTTGATGAAGAAAAGCACTGGTAGAATCATAGCTAACTCTTACTGGCACTTACTGTGTGCCAATCACTGACCTAAGTCCTTTGCACTAATTAGCTCATGTCATCCTCATCACTACCTCATGTAGGAGGAATTAGCATATCGTCCATTCATAGAGAAGGAAACTGAGACACAGAAAAGTTCATTGACATGCACAGGCTGCAGAAATTCAGCTTTAAACTACTAGGCCAGTGGTTCTCAAAGCAGCATAAGTATCACCTGGACACTTGTTAGAAATGCAGATTCTCAGGCCACAGCTAAACCCTTCTGACTCAGAAACACTGGAGTGGGAACCTGGAATCTGCATGTTAACAAGCCTTGCTGGTGAGCCTTGTGAAGCTTAAATTGATGAAACCATAATACTCTAGCATTCTGATTGCATTTTTGCTCTCAGCCAGGACCTGTGCTGTGTGGTATGTAGGAGAATTCCTGTTTCACAGGTGGGAATATCGAAGTTCAGAGAAGTTTTTGGTGTGCCTAAGACAGCATAGGCACTTGGGCCTCGGGAATGGAAAAATACCGGGTGGCTAGGAAGACATGTTATGGCCAGGTAGCCAGATAAGTAGCCAGATAAACTGACTACAAAAATGTTACCACCCCACGTCCGGCCAGTGTGGCTCAGTGGTTGAGCGTCGACCCATGCACCAGGAGATCAGGTTCCATTCCCGGTCAGGGCACATGCCCAGGTTGTGGGGGGCAAGCAGGAGGTGGCCAATCAATGTTCTCTCTCATTGATGTTTCTATCTCTCTCTCCCTCTCACTTCCTCGCTCTCTAAAATCAATAAAGGAAAGAGAAAACAAAAAAGGTACTACCCCACCCATTCCCTGCTCAAAAAAAAAAAACCAACATACTTTTATCTTCTAACCACTTGATTTTCCTACCCTGACATGGAAAATTTCACAGGCCCACCTTTTTTTAAAAGCCCATCTTTTCATGCAAGTCCACTTTGTACCCAGTTTATAAAAAGCAGCCAAGCAGAGCCAGCCCCCAGCCAGTCCAGCGCACCTTCCTTTCCTCTGTGCTGCCTCCCTGGTGCTCGAGCCTCAGCTTAATAACATCTGCCTGGGAACTTCTCTATAGTTTCCTCTTGAATTCTATCTTGGGGGACCCAAGAAGCCCAACTCCAGTAACATGCCCATGCATTAGGCAGCTCTGGCCCAGGCTGCCATCCCACAGTGCATTCCTGGAGCATTTACACACATTTAATCACATCTGGGATTCACTAAAACCCTGTGCAGAGGCTAGCGAAGCTACTAGCGCCTGCAGTTCAGGTGAGGATTCTGAAACTCAGAGAGGGAAAGCAACTTGCCCACATCTTGAAGCCAGTAAGTGGTGGAGCTAGAACTCAAATTTTCATAGATGATAGGAAACAAGTGGGTGAATGGACAGGGCTAAAGAGCCGGATGTTGAGATAGTCCTTGCATTGATTCTTGGCTTCTGACTGTTTAAATTCCTTGTGACAAATCTTTTCTCTCCTTTTGTTCACTAATTGTTCTCTTTCCAAGGGGAAGAAAAGATAAAGAGCACTCGAGTATGCAGAGTGAAAAACTTTATTGCTTTATAGGTTTGGAATTTGCATTTTATTTATTTATTTTTTTGGTACATGCCCCTAGCAGGAACCAAACCCAGGACTCTCTGGTCCGCAGGCTGATGTTCCAACCTCTGAGCCAAACTGGCCAGGGCTGGAATTTGCATTTTATATAGCCTATCTCTGAGGAATAGGCGTCTTAGGAAGTCTAAGGATTCTGTAGACTTTCTAACTATTTATAATGACATTAATTAATCAACCTACAAGAATTGCAAAACCGCCCTGGCCGGTTTGGCTCAGCGGTTAGAGCATCTGCCTGCGGTCCGGAGAGACCCGGGTTCGGTTCCCGCTAAGGGCATGTACCTCGGTTGCAGTTTGTCCCCGGCCCTGGTTGGTCGTGCGGGTGGCAGCCACTCGATGTGTCCCTTTCACGTCGATGTTTCCCTCTCTCTTTCTCTTCCTCTCTCTCCCTCCCACTCTATCTGTGCAAAAAATGGAAAAATGTCCTCGGGTGAGGATTAAAAACAAAACAAAACAAAACAAAAGAATTGCAAAACCATTCTGCTCCCAGATTGAAAGGTGGACAGGAGAGAGGCTTTGAGAAAGATGACTTGGCGTGAGACCTCCTTCAGAGATGTCCAGTGCACGTTCTATAGGACTTGCACCCAAGGTTCTTGAGTTACTTAAGGAGTGAGTGCTTTTCAAACTTTTTCCTTCTCCTCTTTCCCCTTTTCCCTTTCTCTTTCCCCTCCTCCTCCTGCCATAGAAAGAACCACATTTTACAAACAATATGGATGTTTGTACATTTAAAAACTTGAGCAAAAGTTTCATGGGACAGTGCTTTATGTGATACATTCTGAGAGGTTCCATTACATTTAATTTTAAAATGCTGGTTGAAACTCACTAAATTGATTTGAAGACTCACTAATGGATTGTGATCCACAGTTTAAAAAGACATTGTTTGTCCTAAGAGACTACCCAAGTCATGCCTGGTCTTAGTTATATTATACAGGACAAAAGGAGTTATGACCCTATGCTGATATAGCATTTTATTCCTCCTTGGCCTTTCAGTCCCTCAAACTTAGAATTCATTTTTTTTTTTAAAGTTCCACTTTAAAAAAAAAATTGTTTTTGCCACTTTTTGCTGCGATTACACAATAATTTAGCCATTATTGACCAGAGTTGCATAAGAATTAATCTTTAAAGACCATTGCTGTAGGCAAAATCTACATTTGATTAGGAAAAATGCGATCCAGCTCTGGCCGGTGTGGCTCAGTTTGTTGGGCGTCATCACGGACACTGAAAGGCTGCTGGTTCGATTCCCAGGCAGTGCACATTGCATAGGTTGTGGGCTCAATCCCCAGTAGGGGCCGTGCAGGAGGCAGCTGATCGATGTTGCGCTGTCACATAGATGTTTCTCTTTCTCCCTCTCCCTTCCTCTCTCTGTAAAAATCAACAAAACTGCCCGGCTAGTGTAGCTCAGTTGGTTGAGTGTTGTCCCATGCACCAAGAGATCACCAGTTTGATTCCCAATCAGGGCACATGCCCAGGTTTTGGGTCGATCCCCAGTGGGGGCCGTGCAGGAGGCAACCGATCTCTCTCATTGATGTTTCTATCTTTCTCTCTCCCTCTCCCGACTTGTCTCTCTAAAATCAATAAAAACATTTTTAAACTATATTTTTTAACAATAAAACTATTAAAAAAGAAAAATGTGATCCATTCATATGGATAGCTGTTGCATTTCATGGGCACCAAATAGCCTCCTGATAAATGTTTTAGAAGCTGGTCAACTGATTTTTAAAATTCATTTAAGAGATGTCTGCATACACACCAATAATTCTGTCTGTAACCTTATGAGTGCAGTTAAGAGGATAAAGGAATTGTTACTAGATGAGAAAGAAGTCCTCACCAAAGCTTGTCTCGCCTTCTGTCATGTCCTCCATGAAAGAAGGTGCTGTTTTACCCTCTTCTTTCTTGAGAGTCAGCTTCCTAAGGGGTGGGGGGAACCTCAGCACTTTCAATCATTGTGGTAAGATCTGATGGTAACTTACTGTAAGTCATTTAAAACTTGTCTGTAACCATTATCATAACTTTCGCCCGTGGTAGAAAGTTACTTTGTTTTGTAGTTATACGATTTTGAATCCAAAACAGTAATAATGAAAATTGAATGTATCTCTTTTTAAAACCTTCTAGCTTCCTAAGAATAACCGAAATTCGTCTTTAAAAATGTGTTTTTACAAGTGTAATGAGTAAAATCAGAATAGTCTGATAATTTTTAAAATATGCGTACTTAGTACAGTGTTTTTCTTTTGAGAGCACTTCAAAGTCCACAAAACCTCAGAGCTATGCTGGTTTTAGTTAAATACTTCATTGCTTGGCCTGGCTCATTTACCCCTTTTCTTCACACATGAAATATTTTCAGTGCCAAACCCCACACATTCTAAATTGTTACAGATGAGGGCTGTTCAATTTGCAGGCCTTCCTGTAGGCAACTGCATTGTCAGCAGAATATGCCTGTTAAGATGTATTGAACTGGTTTTTTTCTTCCCAACATTTTACTTTGAAAAGTGTTAATTTTATAGCAAATACTAGCCTTCACCTAGTTTTACCAGTTGTTACATTCTGCCCATTGGTTTTCATTTTCCGTCCTTTTCCCCCCTTTCTCCTGCCCCTTTCCCTCTCCCTCCTCCCTACCGCTCTCAGGACCGTTTCTCAGTGGTGTTCTGGAAACACCTGAAGTATGGAGCGGGCGGTGTGACCCTTTACCCTTAAATATGTCAGCAGGTGTCCCCCGAGGACAAGAACATTCTCCTACATAACCATGATGCCTTTATCACATTAACATTAATATCCCTTTTAATATATGATGCTAAAATTGAGGTTGTTCCAAAATAATGTAAGCACCCCCCCCCACACACACACACACCTCTTTCCCACATTGGATCACGGATCATCAAGTGAAGGTTCATGCATTGCACTGATTGAGTTTTTATCTCTTAATCTGTAATAGTCCTTCTGCCTCTTATTTTGTATGACATTGACTTTTTTTTTTTTTTAAGAATCCTCACCTGAGGATATTTTTCTATTTATCTTCAGATAGAGTGAGGGGAGGGAGAGAGAGAAAAACACTGATGCAAGAGAATGAATGCATCATTGGTTGCCTCCCCCATGACCCTGACCAGATGAATTGCTACTGAGGTACATGCCCTTGACCAGAATCGAACCAGCCACTCTTTGGTCTATGGGCCAATGCTCCAACCGCTGAGCCAAACCAGCCGGGGCGACACTGACTTAGTTTGATGACTCCAGGCCAGTTGTCTTAAGGAATGTCCCACATGCAAAATTAATTTTTCATCAATATATATATTTTATCTTTACTGTTGAAAGTATTACAGATGTTCCTCTCCCCCCCTCCCCATGGACCCTTTCCTCTGCTCCCACCCTCCTCTTGCTTCCTCCAAACTATTGTCTGTGTCTCTTGGTTATACATATATGCAGATAAGCTCCTTGGTTTATTTCTTTCCACCTCGCACCCCCTCTTCCCTCTGAGGATTGTCCTAAAAACCAGACCAAGTTTTCTGAACAAGTTTGTGGAATATGTGTATGTTTGTGTTTTTGTCTTCTAGAGTATGGTCTCCGGCTTGGGAGTCAGATCTTCATAAAGCAGATGACCAATACTGGTCTGGCAAATAAAGATGGCAACCTGCACGAAGGGGACATCATTCTCAAGGTGGGCAGACAGTCAGATTCCTGCTTGGCTTCATCTGTGCATTTTCACATCCAACTGGGAGCACAGTGAAACTTTGTTGCGTTGGGAGTCAGTAGTAAGACAAAGAAGAGCAGCAGAATGAGATACGTTTTATCAGAAAAACCAGACTTGGAGATCTGGAATAGCTTAACATCAGATTTTACAAATATATCAATGAGTTATTTTTTTCTTCCCCATTTGTTTAAAGTGTAAGCTCCTATTCCCTAAACTAAGGAAAGATGAGAGGGAGACTTGGTGGTATATGAATGCTGAATATTTAATAGTTTTTGTAAACCTCTCTAGTCAGGAGACACCTTCCAGTAGTAAACCAAACCATCATCTTGAGCTTGGAAGTTAAATAAATTAGCAGAGTAACTTAAGTACACTACAGCTCTCTCACGCTTGTATTTGGGATCCAGGCATGCAGGGTTATATTTAATTTAAAGGATAATTCACTTTTATTCAGTCGCCCTAAAGCCATGTCTGTTTGAATAGATGAGCAAAGTTCCATTTTCAGTAGGAGAAAATATGAATTTCTCTCTCCCCGTGAGTAGTTGTATTGCATGTACCATTACTGTCCTTTATAAACGCAGATAAATGGAACTGTAACTGAGAACATGTCTTTAATGGATGCGCGTAAACTGATAGAAAAGTCAAGAGGAAAACTGCAGCTGGTGGTGTTGAGAGACAGCAAGCAGACACTCATCAACATCCCATCGTTAAATGACAGCGACTCAGAAATAGAAGGTAAAGAAAGGAGGCTGCAAGCTTGGCTGGAAGGGCGGCGTGGCTCCGGCCTTCCCATCTCCCTGGAGCTCAGCCCTCCCGCTGGACGTGAAGCTGCGTGACAGCCTCTGCCTTAGACTTTAATTCTGAAAGAGAAGTGTTGGTCGTCACTTTCTTACTGAAGTGCCTGTTGAAATTGGGTTTCTAATGTGAAATACTGGTGCGCTTGTGAGCTCCCAGTGGATGCTGGGTAGGCCACTGAAGACAACACTTGTTAGTAAAAAGTGTGTGTATGAGCTTTTCAGATAACTAACCACATTCATTTGTGAATTGCTCATCCTTGGTTCTCTCCAGAGTGTGTTTTTGTTGTTGTTGTTCCGTTAATCCTCACCTGAGGGTATTTTTTTCATTGATTTTTAGATAAAGTGGAAGGGAGGGAAGGGGGAGAGAGAGGGAGAAAGGGAGAGAGAAAGATAAAGAGAAACATCCATGTGAGAGAGACACATTGACCGGTTGTCTCCCGCATGCACCCCAGTGGGGCTCGGGATGGAACCTGCAACCCAGCTATGTGCTCTTGACCAGAAATTGAACCCATGATGCTCCGGTGAGCAGGCGGATGCTCTAACCACCGAGCACACCGGCCAGGGCTGGTGTGTGTTTTTAAAGTGGCTATTAATATTTCCAACAGAGAGAAGACAATGTGGAGGATAGCATAAACTATAACAAAGAATCATAATGACTTATATTGGGTATTCATTGGGTAGCAATCCATGTCACCTCTTTTCTTTTAGAGTACTATAGTCATTTCTCAAATATTATTATACATAGGATAACATTTGAACCATGTACAGATTACCAATAAAAATAAGTAATTGTGTCCTGGCCAGTTTAGCTCAGCAGTTAGAGCATCGGCCCGCGAACCAGAGAGACCCAGGTTCTGTTCCCACTAAGGGTACATGCCCCGATTGCAGTTTGTTCCTGGCCCTGGTTGGGGTCATGTGGGTGGCAGCCAGTTGATGTGTCTCTCTCACATCGATGTTTCTCTTTCTCTCTTCCTTCCTCTCTCCCTCCTGCTCTATCTGAAGATAAATGCAAAAAAATGTCCTCGGGTGAGGAGATATATATATATAAATAAAGTATTCATGATATTTCCTAGTTAGCCATCTAGTATTGCCTTTGTGAAGCCAAGTTTAGAAAAAATATGAAGTTCTCAAGTTTTAAAACAGATGGTGATTTTGAAAAGAATTGCTTTATAGAACTTAGTTTAGTTTCCATTATATTAAAGTCTAAGCAATTGTTACTGCGATGAATGCAGTGCAGGGGAAGCACCCGGCACGCTAGGAGCTCGTAGTGTTTGTCTTGCTGTTCAGAGTGTGGTCCTCACCCTGCCAGCAGCTCAGCAGCATCTGGGAGCTTCATAGAGTCGCAGCGTCTCAGGCCCCACCGCAGAACAACTGCGTTCTAACGAGAGCCCAGGTGATCAGTATGTGCGTTAGTTCTTTGGGGTGCAATATATATGTATATGTATGTGTGTGTGTGTGTGTATACATATATATATGCACGCGCACACACACACACAGAGAGAGAGAGAAATTGAGTTTCAAGTCTTTAGTAGCAGCTTTGATGGAAAGTGTTCATGAAAGAGAAACCTAAAATTCTGTATTTGGCTTTCTCTTTATTAATTAATGCCTTTTCCTTCTGACTATTAGACTTTTTTTCCAACTCTGGAAGACTATTAGACTAATAGCACATTTACTGCCTGCCTCTCTTCCGTTCCCCATGTTTCCTAACCAGAGAACAGGATAATTTCTGGTACAGGTCTTAAATATTTGAGTGAAAAGTCTTTTCTTCTTTTTGAAACCAGATGTCTCGGAAATTGAGTCAAACCGATCGTTTTCTCCGGAGGAGAGACGGCAGCAGTATTCCGACTATGATTATCATTCCTCAAATGAAAAGCTGAAGGAAAAGCCAAAGTAAGATGATGTGTCTTTTCCCTCGCACGCGTCACTGTGACTGTGCGCACGCATGTTATTTGTGAGTCTGTCACATGACGAGATATTTACATGACGTGCTTATGTTCAAGAGACGACACCCAGAGCAGATGGTCCAAGATGGGCTCCGTACCCACTCCCTTTAAGAGTGCAGGCGATATTGCGGCTGCCGTTGGCACCGAGACCAGCAAGGAGCCCAGATACCAAGAGGAAGCCCCAGGTGAGGCTCATTGTAAACCGTCGCTTTCAGAAGTTCTGCTCGGTAAATCCAGAGGATGGATGGAAGAAGAGAGAGGGAGCGATTATTTTTTAAAAATCATTCTCAAATATGGAAGAGGCAATCCTGTCTCTCTCTGTTTTAATGCTGAAAAAATGTAAAGAATAATAGCCTTTTTTTCTACGCCAACGGATTGGTCACATTTTGTTATATTTGATTAGTTATGGTCCTTTTGTCTCCCGTTTCTGATCCCAACCTGGAGTGTTTCTGCTCAATATTTCTGACGCCGAGTGTGTGGGGTATTCCCTCCCCACAGCTCCCAGCTCTCCATTCTCCAGACTCCCGCTGGGTTGTCCTGCAGTTCGGTCCAGTTCTGGTACTGACGACCTGGAGTTAGTGCAGACCCCCACAAGTAAAGGGCTCTGCTCCCCAAGATGCCCCCACTTCAGACACAGATTATCACCTTTACTTTTGACTAACCAGCTCTAAACTGGGAGTTCCTAGCACCCCCTTCTTTGATTTGATAATTTGCTGGAATGGCTCACAGAACTCAAAAGCATTTCACTTGCCAATACTGGTTCATTATAAAGGATACAACTCAGGAGCAGCCAAATGAAAGACCTGCCGAGGGCAAGGTGTGGGGGATGGGCGGAGCTTCCATGCCCTCCCCAGGGGTGTCACTCTCCTCATACCTCCATGTGTTCTTCAATCCCGAAGCAATCGAACCCCAGAGTCTTATGGAGGCTTCGTCATGTGCGCGATCGATTATTAACTCACTCTCCCGCTCCTCACCCCTCCCTGGAGGATGGACAGGCAGGCCGAAAGTTCCAGGCTTCTAGCCATGGCTGGCTTATTCCGGTGACCAGCCCTATCCTGAGGCTGTCCAGAGCCCACCAGCAGTTGTGTCTTTAAAAAGCATCCTGACATAGTGATTCAAGGATCTGAAACCCTGATGTTCCAGGCAAAGCCTTGTTTTTATGGAATATGAAACAGTGTGTTTCTTCTACTTCTAACAGCTCGCTGATAGGAACCACTGCTGACTGGAGCTCTGTCTTCAGAACAAAGGACTCTCCTGTCACTCATGAAATTCCAAGGGATGTAGGAGCTCTGTGTCAGGGACTGGGGGCAGAGACCAAATATTAGAGTAAAAGATGCTCCTGGCACCCCGACCCCCCTGAAAATTATGGGGATTTTAAGAACTTTGTATCAGGAACTGGGGGCAGAGACCAAATATATATATTTCTAATTATATCACAGTAATATTTTGTCATATTTGATTAGTTGAGGTCCTTCTATATCTCAACTCTGACCTCAACCCCTTCTCCTAACCCTGCCTCTACCACCCTAAAATTATTATCATGACTCGACATGCATAAATATTTATCCATGGAAAAACAGCATTATTATGAGTTTTTTTAGTTTTAAAAAAATGCTATCTTTTGGTAGATATAATTATCCATCTTGCCTTTTAGAGGTTCATTACTCACTTATTTTGAGAAACCATTGACACCTGCTGTCTTTAAATTTCACTTGAAAGACTTATTTTTGTTGTTTGATGTGATGGCAAATATGTAACAGAAGGTATGGACTTGAATTTTTTGGTGGGTTTTGTGAGCTTCATATTTTGAGAAAAATTCTGTTCAGTCCAAGTTGATAATGACAAGTGCTTCTGAATCCACAGCTCCTCAACCAAAACCATTACCGAGAACCTTTCTTCGTCCCAGTCCTGAAGATGAAGCGATATATGGGTACCTATTTTTGTCTTTTTTTCCCCCTTCTTCTTCCACACAGCTGTCTCCTTAACTGAAACTCAGAAGAATGGTGTTTTTTAACCACAGTTGGTGGTTTTGCCTATAATCTGCCACCTTTAACCAGTCCCTGTTGCTAGTGTTTCTGACAGAGAAGTCATTTGTAGAAGAGTAAAATGTGGAAGCGGGTCAAGTTTGTGCTGGTAACTTTGTCTGCTTTGTCACTTATCTGGCTACTTGTCCAGAATGTGATTCTGAAAATCCGAGTCTGGCGGATGAGTCACAGCAGATGGGTGAGGCACGGCTTACCCTCTGGTGCCCCTGCAGGGACACAGTGATCCCAGTGTGTGTGGGGAGGGAAGTGATGCCCTGCTCTGCATTCGATAACAGGAACCCCCGGCTCAGTGTTCAAGGGCAGTAGCTCCTGGGTTAGGGTGTGGCTTTCTTGAACCCAAGCTGCATATTCATTGGACAAGAGCCCTGGAGTGGGGGCAGGCTTCCCTTTGGAAGGATAGTTCATGCGGCCTTGATATTAACCCGGACCTTGCCCTGTATTTGCTTTCCAATTTTGAATGAACTCACATAAACATTCTATATGTCTACTTCTTCACTGGTAAAGTGGGCCTATATATTCATCTTACAGTCCCGAGGAAGATACAATTATGCATTACATGAGAAAAATGAAAGCGAGACTTAGAACTATAAATTACTCTATAGATAGAAGAACCTAAATCTCTCATCTGCTAATAACGTTGGTCCCCATTTACAAAAACAACCTTCCCTGTTTCCTTTCTGAATCTGAAACCCTTGCAGCCCCAACACCAAAATGGTGAGGTTCAGGAAGGGAGACAGCGTGGGCCTGCGGTTGGCTGGTGGCAACGACGTCGGGATATTTGTGGCCGGCATTCAGGAGGGGACCTCAGCAGAGCAAGAAGGCCTTCTAGAAGGGGACCAAATTCTGAAGGTAATGAAAGCCCAGTCCTGTTTTTGGAAGTTATTGGGAAACAGTGGGGTTTTCGGGTGGGGGGGGATCTTGTCTTACCTAAGGGAGGGGGAAGCGGTCCAGTGTGTGAAAATAGATCAACTGCAGGCTTGTTGCTGCCCAGCCTCAGGGTCTCAGTTTCCCTGGATTGGGCCCTGTCTTCTCAGTCCTGGAACCCAAAAGTCACTCCAGTGTGGGAATTTATAATGTTCAAGACCCGTGCAAAGATCTGTATTAGCTAGATTAACAAAAAAATGGAAACTCTAACTAAAGGCCCAGGAAGAAGATCTTTCAAAAACTCTTGCTGACGTTTGGTTTTTCATCGATTCCCGTCTGGTTGTCACTCTCAAGGCAGTGTGCTGGAACGGAGCAGAGGCGGGTGTTGGCATCGGATGGTCTGGTTTGAATTGCATCCCAGCCTCTCATTAGTTCTGTGACCCTGGTTCAACCTCTGAGACTCGGGTTTCTCTGTCTGTTCAATGGGGATAAGGGTACCTGCCTTGCAGGGACCCTGGCAAGATGAGAATAGATAACACAGACACCCCGCAGAGTTCCTGGCACAGAGTATGAAGGTCAATGTCCTTGCCCTTCTTTATGCATTGGAAAGTAATCTGCCACTCAGTATGTTACTTACATCTGAAGTTGTGCAGGAGGGGGATTTCTTGGTCAATCAAACACTGGTACTTTTAACATTACTGTATATGTGTTTGTGTTGGTTTTAAAAAATGATAACCAACTCAGCTTTGACATTTTATGAGATACGGGTAATGTCTTTCCCACCGACTTCAGAATAAACTTCAAGAATATCAAGTACCCCTTGATGCAAATACAGATGGTAGTGAACTGGCTGCGCCGGAATTTCTGCTTCTGTGAACTCGCATTTCTTCCGTAGGCGTTACTAGGAGATCGGGGAAGAGCATCTGGGCTCAGAGGAGGGGAGTGGACGCGGGATTCCCGGGAGGCAGGCGGCCCGGCCGGGACAGGAAGGCCTCTTCCTTCTTGGCCCTTGGCCCCGTCGCCGTGGTTTAGGTTTCGTTTCTAGAGCACACGGAGGGCAGACTTGATCATGAGCCTTGCTGAAGCTTTCCAGTGACATTCAAGACCCTCTTTGGCTCTGGTCGGATCCTAGGAGACTAAGTGTACCTGAGTGAACCTGTGGTGCCACATGATCCGAGGAAACGTCACTTACCAAGTGCTTCTAATAAGACTCCTGTCCAGTGCCAGCTCATACCAATTTACTCTTGGGCTGATGTCCAAGAAGAAAAAGCATGCTTCCTAACTAGTACAGGGGCCATGGAAAGCCAGGTAGGAATTTGGAAGTTTTTGCTCATGACGATCAAGAATAAAAATTCTTTTTAAAAAAATCCTCACCAGAGGATATTTTTCCATTGTTTTTTTTTTTTAGATAGAGTAGAAGGGAAGAGAGGAGTGAGGAGGGAGGGAGGGAGGAGAGAGAGAGAGAGAGAAATATTGATGTGAGAGACACATCAATTGGTTGCCTCCTGCACCATCCTGACCGGAGCTGGGGATCAAACCCAAAACCGAGGTACATCCCCTTGATCTGGAATCAAACCAGCTACTCTTTTTTGTTGTTGTTCTTTCTTTATTGATTTTAGAGAGAGAGAGGAAGGGAGGGGGGGAGAGAGAAACATCGATGAGAGAGAACATTGATTGGCCATCTCTTGCATGCCCCCCACTGGGTATTTTGCCCACAACTGGGCATGTGCCCTGACCGGGAATTGAACCAGCAACCTCTTGGTGCATGGGTCATTGCTCAACCACTGAGCCACACCGGCCAGGCTGAACCGAACCAGCTACTCCTTGGTCTTCGGGCCAACACTAACTGCTGAGCCAAACCAGCCAGGGGAAGGATAAAATAGTTTTGTATGCAGTGGGGGAAAAGATTTCTCGAATTTCCATGAATAAAAAATAGGGACTTTACATGGGGACTTGACAGGTTGACCTCTCTGTAAGTCATTAAAGAAAGGGAGAGTCACTTCCATGGGCAAAAGCCATGGTGTGCAGAGTTTATATTTACGAAAGTGTCTTGTTTCCTGTTTTCACTTGGCGACAAGGAAGGAACCATGGGAACTGGCTTCCTCGTCCCTGATTGTGAACACATTTTCTGTTGGCTACAAAAGCAGCCCTCAGTTCTGAGAGGGGCGGGAGACGCCAGGGCAGAGAGGCCACGCACCGGCGTCAGTGCAGGATGCGCTCAGGCTCAACGCGGACCGGGGGGCCCTGCACGCGGCTCACTAGAGAGTAAAAGGGGTATTTATTGGAGAGGACTGTCCAACCTAGCCATCCTGTTGTTCTTTGACTTTAACTTGTTTCAGAACACCTTGTCATGGCCAAGTTGAACGTATGTGGTGAACTATGTACATAAACCCATCACTTTTTGTATCACGGGTTGATTTTTTTAAAAAAATCCTTGCCTGAGGATATTTTTTTCCATATATCTTCAGATAGAGTGGGAGGGAGGGGGGAGAGAGAGAGAGAGAGAGAGAGAGAGAGAGATGTGAGCGGAACACATCAACTGGCTGCCTCCCCCACCACCCGACCAGGACGGGGATAGAACCGCAACCAGGATACGTGCCCTTGACCAGAATTGAACCCGAGACTCTTTGGTGCATAGGCTGATGTTCTAACCACTGAGCCAAACCAGCCAGGACTGTATCACAGGTTTTTCTTTTGTCAGGGTGACAGACAGCTTGATGTGTGGAATGAAAACGAGTGGGCTGTACCGTGGCCAAGTGTGTGCCTTGTAAATAACAGAAGTAGACATGCTTTTGTGCGAGGTCTGGCTGTCTCTTTGCTTATTATTTGTCTGGTATGGTTGTCATGTCATACCAGAAACTTTTAGGGGATTAAAAAGAGAAAAAAAGTCCTAAGTTTGCTTATTAACCATGATTTTACAATGTGGCTACCTGGTGTGCTTAAATTTTGACTAGTAAACGTTTTTGGCTTGCCCAGCTGGTGTGGCTCAGTGGATTGAGTGTTGTCCCATGGACTGAGAGGTCCCGGTTCCATTCCTGGTCCTCAGTGCAGAGGTGTGTGCAGGAGGCAGCTGATCTATGTATCTCTCTCACATCGATGTTTCTCTCTCTCTCCTTTCCTCTTTACTAAATAATCAATAAAAACATATTTAAAAAAAGTTTTGGCTTGATGAAAGATCAGTCTCACAGGGCCATAGAGATGGACAGGGGGACCTCTAAGGTTTTCCCCAGCCCCGTGGCCCAGTCTTATTTAAATAAACAAATATAAGCAAATACATGCATATAATAACACACCTGGGGCCGTATATGGACACATGTAGATCTACAGATGGCACAAGAAAGGATCATATACCTAATTGGGGGATGGAAGGAATGACAGTTGTCATTCCATATTGTTTCAAAGGAAAGTTTACCGTGATTGCGTTAGCAGGTCAATTCATTTTAAAAGTAGCAAATAAGTTTTAGTCTATTGCCTGTTTTCACTCAATTATACATTCTAACATTAATTAAATTATAAATTCTAACGTTAACTAATGAACTGTTTTTAGTAATAAAACTTTACTATAGTCCTCAATGATTGAAGAAAGTATTTTATAGGAATTCTGTATCTTTTTACTTCTATAATACACTATTAAAACATTAGGGGCTTTAAAATAATTTTTGCATTTTACTTGTAATTTTTCTCTTTTAAAATGGTTTTAAAGGTACAAAACAAAGATGTCAAAATGTCTATTTCCCCCCCACACACACACATTTCAATTTTACTTGCTTTTTAACTTCCAAAAGCTTTTTTTAAAATCCTCACTTGAGGAAATTTTTCCATTTTTGTTCAGATAGAGTGGGATGGAGAGAGAGAGAGAGAGAGAGAGAGAGAGAGAGAGAGAGAGAAATATTGATGTGAAAGGGACACATTGATTGGTTGCCTCCTGCACGACCCCAACCAGGGCTGGGGATGCATCGCAACCGAGGTACGTGCCCTTGACCAGAATCGAACCCACAACTCATTGGTCCGCGGGCTGACACTCTAACCACTGAGCCAAACCAGCCAGGGCCCAAAAGCTTTTTATAATGCCACCTCCTGGGTCAGTGGGGAATAAATGTTGTGGGTTCCTTGCCAGAAATAAGTGTGTGTCAGAGCTTAAATATGTAAGTCTGTGTATTAGGGTATTGGTCTGCCGTATAAGGCGAATGCTCTTCAATTTCTTAAACTCACATTAAACACCTTCTAGGTGATAGAAGCTGTTGGAGAAAGGTGGAATTGATCAGATCCTTTATTTCCAGGCTTTTATTGAACAAATTTAAAGAATGTTTATGCTTTCAGCTGGGCCAGCATGCTCATTTGCCATAGACACCACCACTCCCTATTGCATTATAGTTGCTTGTTTTATGATTGTACATGACCTCCCTGGCCTCTTCAATGGGAGACTCAAATAAGACCAAACCAACCACAAAAAGTTCTAATCTGATCTAGTGACCAGTCTTTGATGGAATGCACATTCCTAAGGCAGTTGGCAGAGTGGGGAGGCAGGAAGGAGAGGTGATACCCACATAGCCCAGGCCAACAGCAGGGTGCTGGGAAGGCTTGAGCAGGGACACTAAGGACTTCTTTACATCTGAATTTTGTTCTGGGCAGACCCTGATCCAGATTTTAAAAAAAAAATGTTCAGATGGCACCTTTTTATAAACAACTTCTTGTTTTTTGTTTTTATTTTTCCTGTTCGCCCTTCCCATCAGGTGAACACACAGGATTTCAGAGGGCTGGTTCGGGAAGATGCTGTTCTCTACCTGTTAGAAATCCCCAAAGGTGAAATGGTGACCATTTTAGCTCAGAGCCGAGCTGATGGTGAGCAAATTTGTTCATTAGTTTAATGGTGGGGGGAATTGTGGGGAGGCTGAGAGAGGTGTCTTGGGACCAGAAAAGGTAAATGTGGTATTAAAAAATTGAAATGGATTCTAACACCTAATCTTTGGAGACAAATTGGGTACCATATAAATTTCTACAGAAATGTTTCCTATGCACCCACTAAAATAATTTCACTGGTGGTGTCAAGTTGGACTGTAACTGCTTTTCTGAATAGTGATCCATCCTTAAGCACTGCCTGGAGTTACTGAGTCTTTCATATGATGGATGCAAAGAGCCACACCTCCTGGTCAGCTCCCACATTAACTCGTACAGTCTGACAAGTTGCTTCTCCTTACCAGGTCTCGTTGTTTTCACCCATCAGCTGGGAGTTGGTAGCATCTTTCCTGTCTGCTTCAGAGGGTTGATTGACAACTGTGTTAGTCAGGATTCTCCAGAGAAACAGAACCAATTGGGTGTGTGTGTGTGAGTGTGTGTGTGTAGAGAGAGAAAGAGAGAGATTGATTGATTGACTATAAGGAGTTGGCCTAATGATTATAGAGGCTGGCAAGTCTCAAGATCTGCAAAGTGAATGGCAAGCTGGAGACTGAGGAGAACTGCTAATTTAGTTTTAGTCTAAAACCAAAGGCCTGAGAACCAAGAGAGCTGATGGAGTCCACAGGCTGGCAGTTGAGACCTAGGAAGAATGGATGTTTCTGTTGGAGTGTGAAAGCAGGAAAAAACTGATGTCCTACTCGAAGGCAGGAAGAGTTCGTTTTCTCTAAGTCAGGGAAGGGTTCTTCTTTTTGTTCTCTTCAAAAGCCTTCAACTGATAGGTGGAGGCCCACCCACATCAGGGAGTGCAATCTGCTTTGCTTAGTCTACCAGTTTAAACATAATCTCATCCCTAAACACCCAGAATGATGTTTGACCAAATATCTGGGCGTCCTGTGGGCCAGTCAAGTTGACACATAAAATTAATCATCACAGTGGCTCATAAAGTTAGTTTTTTATCCTTCTTCCTGTTTGAGCCATGGTTCCCGTAGGGCCTGTATGCTGAGTTTGCTAAATGGACAGAAGGTAAAGGGATGATCAGGAAAAGAAAAAGCTGAAAACTCTTTTGAAAAGGACCTCTGGGGGGTGGGTCAGGATCAGGGTGGAGGGGGTCAATGGGGGAAAAGGGGGCGGACATCTGTAATACTTTTCAACAGTAAAAATAAATAAAATAAAAAAGAGACCTCTAGCTAAAGCAGAATGCAGCATACAGTGATGCTTTTGTCTTTCAGTGTACAGAGAGATACTGGCTTGTGGCAGAGGGGATTCGTTTTTTATAAGAAGCCACTTTGAATGTGAGAAGGAAAGTCCACAGAGCCTGGCCTTCACCAGGGGAGAGGTCTTCCGAGTGGTGGACACCCTGTATGACGGCAAGCTGGGCCACTGGCTGGCTGTGAGGATCGGAAATGAGTTGGAGAAAGGCTTAATCCCCAACAAAAGCAGGTATCTGAGGTCACGTGCTCCCACATACCCCTCTTTCATGCCCCCCCCCCAAATAAACCAGAGTCTCACCCGCCTCCAAAAGGAAGCCACACATGGCTTCATTATTTGTCCTCATGTCCTCTCCCATCATCTGCTTCTTGTTTACGATGAGTGGCCTAGGACTGTGAACAGCCGCCAGGTGGTTGGTGTGAGTATTTAGCATCACCTAGTTGGTTGTTGCACTTGGCTGGCTTTGAAAGATGTCCCAAGGGGTGCCCGCCGCCTCGCATGGCACACAAGCAGATACGAGCAGCTGCAGCACACCTGCACGCCTCGGAGATGTGCTCTTGTCCAGGGCGTGTCCCTCGTCCCCAACCAGTGGCCACTTGTTGGTTTGCTGACTTATATTTGGCAGGGGTTTCAGGTCTGTTTCCTATATACCAGCCTGTCCGAAGGAGCCATGTTCAGTGTGTGTATTACTGAGCTACTCCTGGTGGTTTTAGGGGGACCGAGCCTTTCTCTGCCTCCATCGGGAAGAGAGAGTTCCCACCTTTCCCACCCCGTGAAACCTCTTCACCGTCAAGCTGTGTCTTCCCTAATCCAGGTTCACGAGAAAGACAGGGTAGACTTGGGGAATGACATGCACGTCCGCACACTTTCTAGCGCCGGAGGTTTACTTCCTGTGGTGTCTCCCCGCAGAGCTGAGCAGATGGCCAGCGTTCAGAATGCCCAGAGAGACAACGCCGGGGACAGGGCGGACTTCTGGAGGATGCGCGGCCAGCGGTCCGGCGTGAAGAAGAACCTGAAGAAGAGCCGGGAGGACCTGACGGCCGCCGTGTCGGTCAGCACCAAGTTCCCGGCCTACGAGAAGGTTCTGCTGCGAGAAGGTGAGGAAGCCACGTGGTGTGGGAAGTGATCCGACAGCGCTCGGAGCCGTCCTCCTTCATTTCAGATTGTAGCTGTCGGGTTCACGCTTACCTGGAACACTTAGACCGCTTACCTGGAAGTCACCCAGTTGGACTTACATCCAAACACGAGAAAAGCTTACGAAAGGGCGAGCTGTGCACACTTGTAAATGGCAGAGTATTTCCACAACCTCAGTTATTTGTGATACTGCCATTCAGAAGTGTTTATATATTACGTCTAGTGACGTTTATCTTGAAGAGGAGGGGAATGAAGGCATAGTCTTCAGAGAAGAGCTGGGCCGATTGGGGACGGGGGAACAGGCAGTGTCTTTCATTGAGACATGTTCTCAGGAGCTATACAATACGTTTGCTTCTCATTTTAACAGCTACAGAGCGTATGTGTTTTCATGGCCTTTCTTGTCTCATTTCAGCTGGTTTCAAGAGACCAGTGGTCTTATTTGGCCCCATAGCAGATATAGCGATGGAGAAGTTGGCAAATGAGTTACCTGACCTGTTCCAAACTGCCAGTAAGTCTATCAGTGTTTTTGTGTTTTTAAAAAATCCTCACCCGAGGATATTTCCCCATTGATTTTCAGATAGCGTGAGAAGGAGGGAGGGAGAGAGGCAGAGAAACATCCCTGTGAGAGAGTCACATTGAGTGGTTGCCTGCTGCATGACCCCAACCAGGGCTGGGGATTGAACTGCAACTGAGATACATGTCCTTGACTGGAATTGAACCTGTGACTCTTTGGTGCACAGGCCGACGCTCTAACCTCTGAGCCAAACCGGCCAGGGGTTATCTGTGCTATTTTTTTTCTCACAAAATTTTAATTTGAAAAATATCGAATATACAGAAAAAATGAAAAATAAACAGCCACGTACACATCACTTGCAGTCGCCGTCACAGGGTGTTGACACTTTGCCGTGTATGCTCCCCCTCCCACCATCGACACCACGTATACACTTTTTAGAATTTCTGCTGAACCATTTAAAGTTCAAGTTGCAGACATAACACTAAGAATAAAGACATTCTCTCCTTCTACACAAACACATCACCATTATCACAGCCAAGAAATCTAACACTGATTCAATAATATTTAGTATGCTGTCCGTTTTTCAGGATTTTCTCAGTTGTCCCAGTTTTTCAATTTGGTCTTTCATGGCTTATTTTTTAAAATTCAGAATGCGCCCGGCCGGTGTGGCTCAGCATTAACCCAGGCACCAAGAGGCCACCGGTTTGATTCCCAGTCAGGGCACATGCCCAGGTTGTGGGCCCGATCCCCAGTGGGGGGCATGCAGGAGGCAGCCAGTCGATGTTCTCTCTCATCGATGTTTCTCTCTCTCTTTCTCTCAAATCGGTTAAAAAAAAAAAAAAATTCAGAATGCGCCCCCCTGGCCGGTTTGGCTCAGCGGTTAGAGCTTCAGCCCGCAGACTAGAGAGTCCTGGGTTCGGTTCCCGCTAAGGGCATGTACCTTGGTTGCAGTTTGTCCCCAGCCCTGGTTGGAGTTGTGTGGGTGGCAGCCACTCAATGTGTCTCTCTCACATTGATGTTTCTCTCTCTCTCTCTCTCTCTTCCTCTCTCCCTCCCGCTCTATCTGAAGATAAATGCAAAAAATGTCCTTGGGTGAGAATAAAATAAAAACTAATTAATTAATTAATAAAAGAAAAGAAAACTAAAATTATTTTTAAAAAAGTTCAGAATGCATGCAAGGATCCTGAAATACTTTGCTTTTCATGTTGTTCTACTCTCTTTTTTTCTGAATTATTTGGTGACATTGATCTTGCGACGAGTCCACGCCACCTGTCTCACCTGTGGGACCGCCTGTTGCTCTATTAGATTTCAGCTACTCAACCTGTGTGTGTCCTTCCCATTGCCTCTCATTGGGTGGCACTGATCTTGGATGTCCCGTTATTGCTGCTGCTGGGTTGGATTATTTGGTAGTCACTGGCTTCTAAAAAGTTATTTAGCCCCTTGTGTTTGCTTTTGCAGAAACGGAACCGAAAGATGCAGGATCTGAGAAATCCAGCGGGGTGGTGCGGTTAAACACCGTGAGGCAAATCATCGAACAGGTGAGAGTTCACCTGAAGGCCATGTTGTCAGAACTGCGTCATGGTTTGCGGCAGTCTTTTTGAGACTAGAGTCTGTATTTTAATAATCCTTAAACATTAATGATGAAGAAATGAGTGTAAACGCAAGATGTTTCTTTGCGTGGAAACTATTGGATATTCTGTGGTGGTGATGTGTTGTGTTTTCCAGAATTCTCAGCATTATACCCAATAACCTGTGAATTCATTTTCTCAGAAATTCGAATAGGTTGGTAACATTAAGTGGACGTAACGTGAAGAGAAATGTCTTCTGCTTTTTTTATTTATGTTGCTAAGTTTTATCTGGTGCCGCCTTTACTTATGAAGACCAACTCTTCAATGCTGTGTGACTTTACATACCATTTACCTCCATTGTCCCACTTCTAACAGGATAAGCACGCGCTCTTGGACGTGACTCCTAAAGCTGTGGACCTGTTGAATTATACTCAGTGGTTCCCGATTGTAGTTTTTTTCAACCCAGACTCCAGACAAGGTGTCAAAACCATGAGGCAGAGGTTGAATCCAACATCCAACAAGAGTTCTCGCAAGTTATACGATCAAGCCAACAAGCTTAAAAAAACCTGTGCACATCTTTTTACAGGTAAGGGAAATTTAAAATGTAGTCTCTCTGCTCCAGAGTGAGAATTACAGAATTGCAAGAATGAAAGAAGTAAGAAAATGATCTGAATAGTAGTAGAGAATAGTAATCTGCAGTACCACTCCTGACTCCTTGAAAAGTAGCTGATCCTATAAAATGTGTGTATTAGACTCATGGCATTTGTATATTTAATTTTGATAGTTTAGAAATGGTCCATAAAAATCCATGACATGCAATAATTGGTCATTTTGATGAGGTTCAAATTTCTAAGTGGAACTGCAAGGCAGGTGACTGAACCTCACACCCACATCCCTGCAAAGATTGTGTCTTTGTTCTCTACTTACCATGCACTGACTCACAAAGTGATAGGCACTCGGTTTCATTGTTTAAAAAATACCCCACAGCCCTGGCCGGTTTGGCTCAGCGGTTAGAGCGTCGGCCTGCGGTCCGGAGAGACCCGGGTTCGGTTCCGCTAAGGGCACGTGCCTTGGTTGCAGTTTGTCCCCGGCCCTGGTTGGGTCGTGTGGGTGGCAACCACTCGATGTGTCGCTTTCACGTCGATGTTTCTCTCTCTCTCTCTCTCTCTCCCTCTATCTGAACAAAATATCGAAAAATGTCCTCGGGTGAGGATAAAAAAAAAAAAAATACCCCACAGTGGAAACTCAAACACTCTGGATGTTGGTTGATATTAAGGATTTATTACTCCTGGTTTTTGGGGAGAGGGGGGGTGATAATGATATTGTGATTGTGTTTTTTAAAAAGTGTAGTTGTCTTTTAGGAATGTTCACTAAATAAAATAGCTACGGATGACCTAATCTACAGGGCTGGGCCAAGGGAGGCTCACAGTTGTTCGTATGGAAAAAGACGCGCAGGTTATGATTCTAATAATACAAAAATAAACTGTGTTTGGCGTACTCACAACTGTAGACTGACTTTTGCCCACACCTGTGTATTTCTAGATGATGTAACCTGGTGTCTGGAATTTGCTTAAATAATCTTCAGTGAGGAGAGTGGGTAGGGAAAGACAAGACAAGACTGGCCAAGAGCTGAGGGTTGTTGAAGCTGGTTCGGGGCGATGCGTACGTGAGAGTTCGTGAAACTGTTCTCTCTACTTTTGTATATGTTTAAGATTTTCCACAGTGGAATACTTTGTTTAAGTTCCTGAAACGAAGCCCGTTGCTGCTGTTACTCGTGAAAGTGAAATGATTTAAGAATGCGACATGTTTTAGTAACTGATTGTGTACACTACCTGTGTAAATGACTAGTTCTGTGAACATGGTCTAATTAAGGGCTTAAAAGGGTTACATCAAGTTTTGGTCATGCCAGTTTGTGGGAGCCCCACGAGGAGACTGTCTGGATGTGATGATGTCTTTAGGATAATGATAGCTCCTTTGAGTTCAGCAGCGGTCATCACCCACCCATGTCACATTAGCCCATCCGACACTGCGGGGGTGCGGGATGGATGTATGCCCACTGCAGACTCTTGTTTTCCTGGCACTGCGTTTCTTGTTAAAGAGTGAGCTGCACCCCTTACCACTGTGGCGGAATGCTGTGACTGAGAGGTGATTTAGCCAAATGCAAAGGATGGCGTGGTCCATCATCGACTGGAGTGTTGAGGGCAGAGTCGTAAGAGCTTGTGCTTTTGATATATTCATACGTACTCTTTCCTCTGTCCTTTTTACTGTCGCTACTATGAGTAGCAATCCTACAGCAATAATAGTTATTGCTATCTTTGTGATAGTGATCGCTAACAGTGGTTGTCTTTTTTGGGCCCTAAGAAAGGCCAGGTGACTCACAGGTTTCATTAGTGTGAAATGTGTACAGTTCAGCCCCGGGACTTAAAGTCAGAGGCTGGTGGGAAACGTAAACACATCTAGTTTCACCTAGAACTTTGAGGTGGCCCGTTCTCACGTACGTTGTCGACCTCCGCTATGGGATTGCGCAGTCTGTAATGGTAGCTGGAGCAGAGCGCCCAACAACTGACCAACAAGTCCGGTTTCTTCCAAATGGCCACTTACAGTGTGGTTCCAAACTTCTGATTTGACTCTTCGGATCTGCGTGGATAGTCCCAGTAAGCACTTTCTATTCCTTGTGTCTGTCGCGCTCCGCCTGGTCAGGTTGTGACTGGATTGTGTGTGTTGTGGCCAGAATCAGAGGCTTTTTATGACTTCGAATTTATGGCACTTGTATGAATTAATAAGTAGGAATAGCAGAGCTGCTGTGATGAACACATCATTCAAAATTGAGGGTTAGGTTGCCTGTGGTGTCGCTAGGCTCAATGTCCTTCTTTTCCCTTGTTTAACAGTAACAAGACAACCCCATCCCCCAGATGAGTATTATTATGACAGTATTAAAGTGGCTGTCCTTGCAGACTCAACTACTCCTCAGTTAAGTGGAGACAACAGGGATGCTTTATTCTGAGATTTGCTCAAAAGCAAGTTAACATGTCAACATAAGTTAAAATGTTAGGCTGCCCCCTCCTCTTCCCCATTAAAAAAATTATTGTAGGATACATTTGTATGTACATGTCAAAAACATTATTTTTTAAAATATAAAGTCTGAATTGCAGGTTTTTTTTTTTTTTTTTCAATTTCTAAAGCTCTCAGTTCATGGTTTGTAGACCACTGTAATGGAACTGTGGACTTAGAGACCCAAGCGGGGCCACCCTTCATATGAAATTGCAAGATTTTTAAGCTATTACAGGACACTTGGGCACCTTTATCAGCGTTCACAGGTTTCATTAGTGTGAAATTTGCACAGTTCAGCCCGGGGACTTTGAGAGTACTGAATAAATGCTGATTGTTATTAGTAATATTACTTTATGCTTATTTTATTATTGTTCAGTGTTACATATTATAAAAAGAAATAATTCTGTGTCATTATGTAGTCATTGAAAAGGCGTGGGGGGGGGAGTGGATCTTGTACCAGCTGAAAGAACCCACATCACAGTAGGCAGATTTTGGTTTCCTAGGGGACTGTAGAGCCTGGTGACCTCAGGAAGCAGATGGAGGGTGTGTGCTGGCTGGCTGGGCACCTCGGTTGACACTTGCCCATTTAGAGGGAATCCCTGCCACATGAATAGCTTGAGAATTAATTTATATACCCTGCAATTCATCTGTTTAAGGTGAAGAGTACATTGGATTTTAATAATCTCAAAGTTGTACAGCCATCAATTTTAGGACATTTTCAGGATCCCCAAAAGAGACCCCATGCCCGTGAGCAGTCCCTCCCCGTTTCTCCCTGCCCCTCCAGCCCACATGTCACTTTTTGCTGTTGCTCTTGGCACTTGCCAAGCTCCTTGGCTGGGAAGGGTGCCAAGGCTGGGGACGGATGCTCTCAGAGTCCCGGGACTCCCAGCCAGGACAGAGGCTGAATGATGGGCCTTTCCGTATCACTTTCTTGAGTTTGAGAAATGTCCTAAGCCTATCTAGGAGAACATAAGTCTGGTCCAGAGGTGGGGAGCAACAAGAACTAACTAATACTGCTTGAAGCCAAAGACTCTAAAAAACCTAAAGAGCAAAAGCCAACAGGAACCCAAAGGTATTGATTCCAAATGAAGGAAAGGTAGCATCATAGTTGTGCACCCACCCATTGAAAAGAGGTCAAGAGCATGAGAGAGATGTTACCAACTTGGATGTTACCTTTATATGGAATTAAGGAAATTAGCTACAGTGAAGTCTTTTTTTTTTCTGTCTGTCTCCCCCCCACCCCCTCCATATACTTGACTCAATGTACATTCAGTAAGAGATTTTATGACCTTTTTCATTTTATTGGGGGACATGAACACATTTTCTGCATCTCATAAATGGCCCTTTTAACTAGGTTTTCCTCATGATAAACGCAGACTTTACTCACTTCATGCTACTCCCAGCTTAAAGCTCAGAAAGGCAGCTTAACATTCTCTATACATTGAGTGCAGATCACGCATTTTGTCTCCAGGGTGTACAATCTCAGTTTTATATTTAAGTATTTGTGGCATCATGTCTTACCCAAGAGCACAGTAATGCTGGCAAAGTACCATAATAAGGATGCAAAAATCCAAGGAATCAAGGTTAATTCTTTTTGAGTTGTCCAACGTATCAGTTTATTCTAATGCTATAAATAATTAATAACCAGGCAAATTGTAAGCTCACTCAGGATTTTCCAAGGTCAGTGTTAGAACTTCTTAAATGAAAGGATGGTGTATGTTACCAGGAAGAAAACTTGAAGCACAGTTACTTACAGAATTTGCTTAATGGGTCTTTTTTGGCTCTCTGTGCAGACTTCAGGACGGATGGAGCAGGATGCCAAACACTTTTACCAACAAGCCCCGATTTTCTCCTGGGTGTCACATAGAATGCCGCACCCTCTAAGGAAAGGCTATGACATTGTGGCTTTAAAAATAATCCTAATTTTTCTGTAGTGTGATCATTTTAGGTCCGATTTAATTTATTATTCAGGACCAATTTGCTTGTTTGGTTTATCTCCATTAGATCCATAAATACACATTGCTGAAGAATGATCTGCACATGCTTTACTTGGTTGGTGTTTTATGTTGGTGCTCCAAATTCATGTTTTTATGTGGGCTGTGTAATGCTAAGGCCATAGTGTCTGAAAGCAAACTTCTGAGTTTGTATCGAGGCTTCTTCACTTTTTTGGTGTGAAGCCCTGGACTGGTTTCACTGTTGTGCCTCAGTTTCTCTCCTGTAGCGTGGGGATGATGGCACACCTCCCTCACAAGGTTTGTGTGAGCATGAAGTAAGCAGATCCATGTAAGGTATTTGTAAAGTGCTCAGTCAATCCATAGCAAGTGCTATTATGTAAGATAAATTGTGTTTGGAATAGAAAATGTGTATTACCTGAATGTATACCTATAGGGCTTGGTTAATCTGTGTGTATATTCTAAAATGTTTAAGCCTATCAAAATGATGTACATTTAAATATCACTTTCAGTATTTTATTGGAGATATCCAGCAGCATACTAGTGTATCGTTTTCTTATTTATATTATACTTGTCTATGTAATGGCCTTTCAAATACAGTACTTTTATATTTGTTTTAGGTGTGTTTTCTTTGCTCCTGAAAATTTACTCTTTAAAAACAAAATTTTAAAGGTAGCTTTTCTGAAAGACAATGTGGAATATAATTCATCCAGTTTTAGGTTTATAAATAAACCCACTTGTAATGCAGATGCGACTAAAGGGATTTAGTATTCAAACATGTGCATACTTTCTCTTGCATTTGCCAACATTTTCCTTCAGATATGACAGAAATGAGTATGAACTTTTTCAGATAAGTTTTTAAGAAAACATTGCTTTGGAAATCGGTACAAACCTTTTTGCCTGCATTTCTACAGCTACAATCAACCTAAACGCAGCCAACGACAGCTGGTTCGGCAGCTTGAAGGACACAATTCAGCATCAGCAAGGAGAAGCAGTTTGGGTCTCTGAAGGAAAGGTATGTGGCACAGATACTCTGCTGAGAGGTGAGAGTCCGTGTTTTGAATCTTTTCTCAAGAGGGTAGTGAATGTAGCAAAGCCATGCCCATTTGAAGGAATTCCCACGTATGTGCTAATCAAGTTTGCAATTTTATCAATTCTCTAAAAATGTAATAAAGTGAAGGGGCTTTTAGAAGAAAAGCAGAATGTGATACGTGCAACCCTACATTCACTTCCCTTTTACTTTTAACGTAGTAACTAGTGTTGTATACCAAGCACACTAATCAGAGCTTACAAGATGTGGAGCTGAGAGATGAAGTGAGAGGTGTAGAAGACACAGTTAAAAATTAATAGAAGAAAAGCAAATGGAAGTGGAATCATTTGCTTCAAGATTGGCAGAGAATGGCCCTAGGCATTTGAGTAGGCGGTAAGAGAGCATTAGGAGACTCGCGCAGGCTTCCGAACCTGGCCAGCTGCTCCTCTGTGGACGTCGCCGATGCACAGCTCTACGCAGGGAGGGTGCAGAGACAGGATAGAGTTTCCTGTGGTGCTGGGAGCCTTTGGTGATAGCCTGCTGTAGTCTAGCAGAATTGAGGGAGCCTAGAGGGACAGTGTTGTTGCAGAAATGAGTCAGTGACCAGTGAGATTGCCGAGCCCCCATTTTGCTGTTTGGGAACTGCATGTTTAGTCAGGGTGTCTCGCACCTCCTGAGTGTGTACAGCCTGCTAAGGCTCCATGGTGGTGACAATGAGTTGGACAGGACAGAGCTTCTGCCCTCCAGGACTTGAGAATCTTGTGGCTGCGTGAAGAGGTGGGCAGCCCAAGGCAGTGTGCAGTTATTACTAGGAGACAAGTACCAGCAGAAGAAGCTGAAGAGAAGCCCGCTTCTGGAAGACAAAGCCCGACAGTCTGAGGAAGCGTGACTCGGTAGCTCTAGATAACATAGATGGTGGCAATGATTGATTGGGTGGAGGGTTCCTAATTTGAGTCCCTGCACAGAAATCAACATAGTCATTTAAAGCCAAGTGATTTCAGGAAACTAAAGTCGACTTCCCTTTCTAGAACACGTCAAGGTTTCAGTCACTTGGCTGTGCCCTTGGGAACTTTCTTGAGTCCCCACTCCCAGGAGCCATGTCACACCCCACTGACCCTCCAAAACAAATTCCTCTAGATGGAAGGGATGGATGATGACCCTGAAGACCGCATGTCCTACTTAACCGCCATGGGCGCGGACTATCTGAGTTGCGACAGCCGCGTCATCAGTGACTTGGAAGACACCGACGGCGAAGGAGGCGCCTACACTGACAATGAGCTGGATGAGCCAGCTGAGGAACCGCTGGTGTCTTCCATCACCCGCTCCTCGGAGCCGGTGCAGCACGAGGAGGTGAGGCGAGGCAGGCCACGGGCCGCGAGGCCACGGGCAGGAAACGGAGGTTCTGGTGTTTCGCTGGAATTCTCCCGGACAGCCACCAATTCAGGGTGCCGTGGAAGGCATTGCGAAGGGTTGAAACAGGTGAGCTGTAGGGAGTCTCACTCCACGACAGTGCCTGCGTGGTTGTGGTCGTGGTCCATGGGAAAGCAGGACAGGAACTAGATGCCCTGGCGTGATGGATAAACAACAGCTTTCTGGGCCGGCTGTCCAAATTGCAGGTGGAACATTATTTTTAAAATACAATATTTACTTGTATTTGCTTGTAACCTTTGATTAGGCTTCTCTTTCTCTCTCTCTGGACCCTTAAGCATCCTCGCTTTTTCTTCTCCGTCCTCCCTTTAACCTTTCTGATCTGCCAGAGCTTCTGAGAGTTTCCCCATCAGTTTCCTTCTCTCGTATTTCAATTTTTGAATTGAGTTCATGATCAAATACATGTCTGACCACGGTACGGTGCATCCGCTGGCCAGTGGGTAGACAGCCAGTGATCCTAGAAATCACATCGACAGGCACTAGGTTAGGACCAGAGCGATTATTAGTTGCACCTCAGAGAACATTGGGATAATGACCTTTGTACATGAGAGTATCCATTATTTGGATAATGATGGCCATGGACTTCCCCTTAGCAACTTAGCTCATTTCAGTGAATTATTTTATTCTTTATGAAATAGAAGTACCAAAAATTAAGGTGAAGGGGGGATAAAACCCATCATGACAAAATTAGTATATATCACTGGACGAGTTGCAAAGAATAAATTAACTTTTTAATGTCTATAGATATCTGTAGCTAATGCTTAAAAACGTTAAGAGCTTTAAGTAGCAACAGAGATTTCACACTTGCAGTTTTAGACTTTTCCTTTTGTACTTTAAAGGGAGAGACTACTACCATGGATGCATCTAGTTTAAAAAACATATCTTAAGCATTTGCTCATGGGAATATGCCTGGTTTCTGCACTGGGTCAGTATCTCAACTTATGCAAGTTAGAAACTTTTTTGCAAGTTGTAAACCTCAGGCCGAACTTCTGCAAGTGCTTGGAACTCCAGCAAAGCAGACGAGGGAGTACTCTTCTCTCTCTGCTGTGATGTTCTTGCCGTGAACGAACCTTTGTGTCTTGTAGAGCATAAGGAAGTCCAGCCCAGAGCCACGAGCTCAGATGAGGAGGGCCACTAGCAGAGATCAACTTAGGGACAATAGTCCGCCCCCGGCATTCAAACCAGAGCCGCCCAAGGTATGTGGTTGGGAAACCCAGGACGGGAAGGAAGAGGAAGTCCACTGCCCTGGAGCCCCCTGCACAGCCGGGGGAGAGCCACACAATGAGATGGTGTTGAATTATGTTTTTAACTCACTCTTTCTCTGTTAGGATCTGCCTTTTGGCCTGTGGGGTTAGGGAAGGCAGAAAGATAGGAAGGAGGGAAAGGAAGTTCTAGGAGAATGTACAATTTTAAAACTGTTAGTAGTTTTTGATGAATTGGTTGATGGAGAAAGAGAAAGGTGGACACATACTGCATGCCCAGAATCACCAAACTGAGACTATTTTTCTCTTTCTGTCCAGTTAGAATTTTCTGTCCACAATCTGATTTACATGCACCAGAAAAGTTCTTACTGATGATTTGCTAAAGCAAACCACCATCACCCTTGTTTACAATGCCTCTTATTATGAGGGCAGCTTAATTTATTTTCTAAGTAAATAATTATCCGGATCAAATTCAATATAAGAACACATGGGTGTCTGCCATATGATTCTTTATTTCTTCTCTGAATCAAAGCTATGACTATAGGCTTTTCCTTAAAACCCAATGAAATTTGTCTATGTAACTCAGGTTTAGATGAGAAGAAAGTGATGATTGATTGGGTGAGCTAACAGAAGTAATAACCTCATAAAACATATCAGTGGAAATTCACCAGCAGGACTCGGAGAGACGTATGAAGGGAAAGGGGCCGTTATGATATGCCTGCCCCGCTCCCCACGCCAGTGTCTTTCATGGTGGACATGGGCTTCACCTCCAAGCCAGGGCATGTACCCTCGATGTCATATGAACTCAGGAGTCCACGCGTCAGTCCTGAAGGCTGACAGGTTCTGAGGTCTTCTCCAAAATTTGAATCTTCTCTAGAGTGAAATTAGATCTGCTCTCTCTCTAGCTGGCTCGCAGGGCTCCCAACACTGCCCAGCATCCTCTTGGTTTCCAGAGCTGTTCCCGCCCTTCTGGAGGAAGTGAGGAAGGGGTCAGGGTGCCCGACCAGTGGCTGTTTGCCCTCCCATATTTGATTCTTTGTTGACCACCTATGGAAACTGATCAGGAAATGGAGTGTATTAAATCACTAATATTGACGTGAAAATAAAGTTGAAAGCCTAAGGTAAAAATAATGTCATTGCTCTCTGCAGGCCAGAACCCAGAACAGACAAGAGTCCTTTGACTACTCCAGATCCTACGAATACAAATCAAACTCCTCTTCAGCTGTTGCTGGTAACGAAATTCCTGGGGCACCTGCCAAGGGTCATCCTCCTCCTATTGCAGCAAAGCCTGCCTTTTGCAAGCCTATACTGAAGCCCGCCACCCCCGTCCCTCCCCAAGAGAGTGAGGAGGCAGGAGAGGACAGTGAGGAGCAAGATAACGCATCCAAGTCTGTCCTGGGCAAAGTAAAAATATTTGAGAAGATGGATCACAAGGCAAGATTGCAGAGAATGCAAGAGCTCCAGGAAGCACAGAATGCAAGGGTAATTGCTTTTAAACCACTGAATTATTTTAATGTGTCAACAGTAAGAATTTTAAATAAGTTGCATTTCAGTAAAATGATCTGCAGTCCTCTTCCCACTGTACAGACATAAAAGGGGTGTTCACATGCATGACACTAAAGGCACGTCCCCTGTGTGTGTCATCTCCAAATTGTCAGCTATTTGTGTGTCCCTTTCCCTTCCAATCAAGAAAGCCTAACATACCCTGCTCGGTGTGCTCAGTGGTTAGAGCGTCAGCCCACACACCAAAGGGTCTCGGGTTCCATTTCCAGTCAAGAGCATGTACCTGGGTTACAGGTTTGATTCCCAGCCCCCATGGGGATGTGTGTGGGAGGCAACCAATCAATGTGTTTCTCTCCACCTCCTCCCGCCCCCAGTCTCTCTAAAAAATCAATTGAAAAAATATCCTGGGGTGAGGGTGAACAATAACAACAACAAAACGCCTGACAATATAGGTGAATAAGCTTTTGTACTTCAGTTCTGGAGTGTGCAAGTGCGACAGAATTGTGCCTCTTAGAAGTTATTTTTCATTAAACTGTCTGTTGTTTTTGTTTGGTATCTGAGTTTTAATTTGCTCCCAGATTTGCTGTAGAAACCTGGTGAACCCCCGTAGATTGAACTCGGTGATACTGTTTGGTATTTTTGTACCATGTGCAAACATAACCTTTCAAAAGTCAAGGAAGAGTTTGGGTAAAAGTCTCGGAGCATATTCTGCCCAGTGGATATGGGAGTTCTCTTCATCTAAGGCTGCCACGACAGCAGGGATTCTTAGCATTTTTCTCTTTTTTAAAAAAAATTCTCACCTGAGAATATTTTTCCATTTATCGTCAGATGGAGTGGGAGGGAGGGAGAGAGAGAGAGAGAGAGAGGGAGAGATAAACAGACATTGACGTGAGAGGGACACATTGACTGTCTGTCTCCCACACAACCCCGACCAGTGTCAGGGACAAACTGCAACCAGGTTATGACCGGAATCGAACCCGAGACCCTTTGGTCTGCAGGCCGATGCTCTAGCTGCTGAGCCAAACCGGCCAGGGCTTTTCCTCTTTTATTATTATGATAAAATGTACACATCACAGCCCTGGCTGGTGTGGCTCAGTTGGTTGGGCGTTGTCCCATGCGCTGAAGGTTTGCCAGTTCGATTCTCGGTCAGGCACATGCCCGGGTTGTGTGCTCCATTCCTGGTGGGGGTAGCGCAGGGGGCAGCTAATCGATGTTTTTCTTTCACATCAAGGTTTCTATCTCTCTTTCTCCCCCTTCCTTCCCCTCTCTCTATAACAAGAAACTATTGTTTGAAAATAAATAAATAAAATGTACATCACATAAAATTTTACCATTTTAACCATTTTTTAGTGTTCATTGACATTAAATACATTCACATTCTTATGCAACTAGCTCTAGGACGTTTTCTTCCTCTCCAGCTGAAACTCTGTGCCTATTAAACTATTGGACAGTTATTCCCCATTTTAAACACACCTCCCTCATCCCCTGGTAACGATCCTATTTTTTCCTCTGTGATTTTGACTACACTAGCAACCTCATGTAAGTGGAGTCATATCATTGACTTCTTGCGACTGGCTTATTTCAGTTAGTATAACATCCTCAAGGTTCATTCAGGCCGTTGCCTGTGGCAGAATTTCATTGCCTAAAACATTTTTCCTGTGGGACATGTACCAGGAGGCACCACACAGAGGCATGGACACCAGAGAGCTGCTTCTGTTTTTCCTCTTCTCCTTAACATGGGGTTGGAAAATGGGACCAGCAGCTGGGGACCAGCAAGCTGACTGTCTAGTGGTTCTTCTTTCCCTCTCACTCCTTTTCCCCCTTAATCACCACAGATTGAAATTGCTCAGAAGCATCCTGATATCTATGCAGTTCCAATCAAAACCCACAAGCCAGACCCTGGCTCGCCCCAGTACACAAGGTAAGGGCCGCTTGGCAGGTGGGGGTCTGCAGTGGGGCTTACCGAGGGCTTGAACTGTAGGAGAGAGTTCTCTTCACTTGCATGTCAAAGTACTAGGAAGACTTTCTTCCCTCGGTCAACAGTCTACCTTACTTATTTAGACACATTTAAGTGTCGAGATTACAGGGTCAGAATTTCATGGTAATTTTGCTTGTGTGCTCACACGCTTGGACAAAGCATAATCATTGGCATTTCAAGTCAGTTTCCCTTGTCACGTTGGAGCACAGATATGTTAAATTGTATTAGGATAGCTCATGAGCAAAATTCCTGGGGCCAAGACCCATTTTGTCACCATTTTCTGGCTCTTAGCCAAGCTCCTTAACTCCTTTGCATCACCCAGCAGAGTCAGGCCACTTGTGCTGAACTGTGGTCTGAAGGGAAGGTGACAGTCAACTGACTGTTGGGAAGGAGCAGCATTTACAAAGTGCTACTTGAGCACCAGGAATTGCCACAGTGTCTTTCTGTTGAGGTCTTACCACTGGATCATTTCCTGCTTCCGAGAATAGAAAAGAAATCACATTTCTTGTGGCTATTCTGACAGGAAGGAAGAGTCTAATTTTACAGCAATAGAAGGCCAGGGGCAAATTTCTTTACCAATCGAACAGTGGCACTTGTAGCCAATGAATCTCAGGGTGGGGAGGATACCCCCTCATCCAGCTGGGGAATTTTTAGGCCTGGTAGCACCGGGTTGGCTTCCTCCTTCACTACGCAAATAGGTGTCAGTCCTGACCTATTACTCCCATCTCGACCGCCATCACTCTGGGAGCCTGCAGCAGGGCCAGGAGTGTCCCTGGTTTGTCAGCACAGTGTGGCCCTGAGGTATGCCATCTGTATTGGGTGATTGCCCACTGTGTATTTAACCCTCTCTCTGTTTTAGTTCCAGACCCCCCGAGCCCCAGAAAGTTCCTTCCAGACTCTATCAGGATGTCAGAGGAAGTTATTATGGCAGTGATATGGAGGAGGAAGAATATCGCCAGCAACTGTCAGAACACTCAAGGCGTGGTTATTACGGCCAGCCTTCCCGATACCGGGACACAGAATTATAGATGTCTGAGAATTGACTCTTCTGTACCCTGCTGTCGCACCTCGGATCAACACTCCCGTGGAGCCATGGGATGGCTCTTTCCAGTTAGAATGCACTGTGGAGATGTGGTGGGACCTGAGCTCCTGTTTCCTCGTGGGGAGCCCAGGGGGCAACCAACGCAAATTCAGAACCGAAGGTTCTACTTGTGGGACTGGGTCTGGGGAGTTTGTGGCTTTTTGCTCAGAATTAAGAGAAACACTGCAGTTTGATACTGTTGCCTGCTTCAGTGGACCAAAATCTGTATTAATTCTGTGCGTATTTTTAACATGTATATTAAGAAGTGATAACTATTTTTCATTAATAGCTATATTTAAGGACCGTTTCAGTGTGAGACAGAATGTGAAAAAAAAGGAATAAAAATATTGTCGGACTCCAACTAAATTCAAAGAAGTATTTTATTACAACTCTAAGTGCCTTTGATGAGAAGTGTCTTAAATTTTCTTCCTTTGAAGCTTTATGCAAGGCCATAATGGACTAAACTGTGACTAAATTTTTATACCAGTTTAAGAGCTATGGTTTTCTCTGCACTGTGTCATCTTTTCGAGGCATTTATCTTTGTAGTATTTTCCATAAATTCTGACTATATATAATAGCTATTCTTGGTAGTTTGGCTACCAATGCTAAATAGCTTAAAGACCACAAAATTGGTATAGAAATTTTTGTTTGTGCTCCACAAAAGCAGATACTTGAGAAAAACACATTTTATTTCCAAACGTGTGTGTATTGACAACAGTTTTATAATTTAATAAAAAGGACATTGCAATCAATAATTTGCTTTGTGGTGGATTTCTGTACTATTTCCCATTTTTAAATGCAACTTACTGATCATAAAAGTGAGAACATGCCCATTGCTGAACACTGGAAAATGGAGACATATAAAAACAAAAATTACTTATAATCCCATCCCTCAGATAGTTTTACATAAAAGTACATTTTTTCTAATTACATAATTGTCGATGTCTGTGTGTGTCATATTTGGGGGTAAATGGTGTTTGTGGTTCTTTTTCTTACCTTTTCTATTTAACATTGTGTCGTGAGCATTTCTCAGGTAGTTAAAACTCATGCAAACATCATTCCTAATCACTGTAAAAGAAAACATTGTGTGACTACATCATAAATAGACGTTCTGCTATTGCTGGCTGTTGGGATTGTTTCCATTTTTTTTCCTTGTACATGAAATATACCTCTTTGTATATAATCCTTTTTGTACACCAGTGATCAGCATTTCAATCCTTTTCTGCAGGTAGGTTCTCAGAAGTGGAATTACTAAGCAGTAGCATAGAAACATTTTTAAAGCTATTAATTAATTAATTAATTAATTTTTTCAAGCTCTCCTCCAACCAGATTTATTGAACATAACAGGATTCTATATGTAAAGTCACCTGGACCTGCTGCTGCAAAACAAGATCCTTTCTTACTAATATTCTGATGTCAAAAGCAACTTACCCTAAAATTAAATCAAAAGTGTCCAAAGCACGGCGAATAGCCTAACCACTGATACCGAACAGTGTGCGAGACAGTTAACATAGACAGGCCTGCGTCCCTGTGACGGCCGCAGGAGAACCGCTGCAAGATGTCGGGAGGCCGCTTCGTGCACTGCCACTGTGATGCCATCGTGTTTCTGGATCATAATGTTCCCATGATCTGATTCTAGACAGACCGCAGGAATATCAGTGGGCTCTGAGGTTAGCGTAGCTGCTTGCTGGGCTGGAACAGATGTCACCCAGCATGCTCATCTGACAGGGTCCCACGAATCCGTGCACAGGACTCCAACGATGGATGAATTCTTCTTTCACTCACGTGTCCTCCAACTGCTGCTCCAAAGTCACCTCCACCCTGACCCAGGGCCCCCCCGCGTGCCACTTCTAAAGCTTTTTATTTTTAATTGCCCATTGCTTCCTAGAAAAGTTGCATAGACTAATACTCCTACATCCACTCTTTAAAGGCTAAAATACACTTAGAATTTAGGCAAGGTAGCTTGGGAATTTAGCCCTGTGTGGATCAAAAGCACACTGAATTTAGGAAAGGAAAAAGTCTCGGTTCCATTAGGGTCATTTATAAGATGAACCAACAACAAAAGGTGTTAAGCTGTGTTTTAGCTGAATTAGAAATTCAGCTTACTCCTACCTGAGTTATAGATATTTCCTTGGTGGCTTCTCTATCAATGTGGGTGCTGTAATTCATAAGCCACTTAGTGCAGTCCCTTGAATTTCTGAACAGTCCTCAAGGCACTGACTCAAATGTGCATGTTTTGTAAATAAAAGCCACCTCTTGTGGACAGAAAAAAAATACACTAAATACATGATGAGTTAGTTCACTTGTATCCTTTAAATACAGGAATGAGCCCCTTTGCAAACCCAGGGAGAGGAGGAAAGGGCTTTCAGCAGGAGCTGGGTTGTCATCTGGCTGCAGCACTTTTATACCCTAAGTGGTGCAGACAGGCAGGGCCTCTGTTTCCGAGAATGTCCCCTAGTGTGCCTGATGGACAACCAGTGCCTGCCCCATCCCTTTTTAATTCATATTCTGCTTTTTTTCTGGGAAGGATTTAAGGCTGCCTACAATAAATGTGGACTATAATTAAGAAAAACGGTGCTAGGCAAATGAGGAAAGGGAAAATACCCAAATCGGAAAGTCAAAGCCCTGAGTGAGAGTAGAGAGTTCACTATACACCTGCTCTCAGGGTTCTGCTTTCCAGAGGCCACTGTGGGGCACGAGATGTGACTGGTAAGTCTAGATCATCCCTAAAGGAGAAAGTTGTTCCAGAATTTTCACCCATCCCTCATTTTTTTATTCTGCGGGGTCTTAGGTTGCACAGTGCAGTCATGGCCACTTAGCTTGCAGGATGATTTTGGAGGTCCGTTTCTTACTGTGTTCTTACACGTAGGGCAGTAGCAAAATTCCAAGGTCCACTCAGTAAAATTTCTGGAGAAAGTACCCAAAGCTGCAAGTGTAGAAACACCACTCTGAAGTCCGGCCTAATCCGGAGAGCAATTCTAGAGTATCCAGGGCCAAAGCCTCCCAAATAGTAATATGACACGCATGAAGCCCCAAGGGAAACGTGTCATCACCCTGGAAAAATCAAAGATTGCCGGTGAGAGGGGGAGATAAAACTGGGTAGATTATGCAACAGAATGCAAACCTCACATGGGAGTTGTAGGATGAGACATGGGACATCTGAAGTTTTGCACTCTCAGCAGTTCTGGGCTACATCCCCCACCTCCCTTCCCCGGGTATTTTTGGGTCCGCACAGGAGTCATACGTCACAAGCAGTGTGCTCAGTCTCTACCAATCAGAAGTGATGCATAACTGCGCCCATCCCTCAGTTTACTGCTCCTGTCAACCCTGATTTTGTGTGAATGAACAGTAATTTGGGAGCCGGTGGGGGAGGGGGGTAGCAGATCTCAAGATCAGGCTTTGAGTGTAAGGTGTTTGTTTGGGAAGTACAGTGAAATTCCACAGTGGGAAACCTGAACTTAAGCCCACCCAGAAACGCAGGTGCACCGGATAAAACACGGGCCTCAGAGTTTTCCCACCCAGGCCGTGGGAGAGCTGGGCTATTTGTTCACAAATTGGCTTCAGGCTTTTAGGGCAGCTCTGTGCGTGCGTGTGTGCGTGTCTGCGTGCCTGCGTGCGTGCACTGGTGGAGGAGCGGGTGTCCTCACCCCACTCCTGCAAGCCAAGAAACGGAGACAGGCAGCTGGAAGGCTGGGCCCCGCCGCAAGGCCTGAGGGCGAGGACGGAGGAGCCCGGAGGCTGTCATGATGGCGATTGGGCTGTGCCTCTGTGGAGTCCTCCAAGGTGAGAGGTTTTTCTGTAGTGTCTTAGCGGGGTGGGGAGAGACATGAGAGGAACTGGAGGATCACTCATAGGGGGTAGGGGGGCGGGAAGCCTCCATACCTGTATTAGTTGGGGTTTTCTAGAGAAAGAGCCACCAGTATGAATGCTCGCTTGCTAGCTCGCTCTCGCCCCTCCCTCTCTGTCTCTCTCTCTCTATATGGAGAGAGACTTACTGTAAGAAATTTACTCACTTGATTTGGGAGCTTGGTAAATACGGAATCTGCAAGGTAGGCCTGCAGGCTGGAAGACCCAAGGAAGACCCGAAGTCTGAGTGCACAGGCTGTCGCCCACAGGATCCTTCCTGCTCTGTTCAGGGAAGGCTCTATATTCAGGCCTGTCACTGGTTGGATAAGGGCCACCCACATTATGGAGGGCAATTTGATTTGCTCCAAATCCAGTGATTTAAATGTTACTCTCATTCCCCAACACCCTTATGGAAACATCCAGAATGAAATTTGACCAAATAATGTACCCCCTGTGGCTTCTCCTAGCCAAGTTGACAATAAAATTAACCATCAGGATACCCCATCCCCTTTACCTTATAGGCCACCACAGCAGCCCCACTTCTTGTCCAGTGTTGAGGTGTGAATGAATGAATGAATGAATGAATGCAGGCATGCATGATTGAACGAACGAAGGAGCCAGAAGAAGGGAGAATCACATGTATTTACACACAGGTATAGGTTTTATGATACATTTATATACTTTACATATTTATATTTTATTTTAAATAAAGAGAAAATTTAATTTTAATGAGTAGAAAAGCCTTAATAATTAAGAGAGGAAAAAAAAGAGATCCAAGTAATGTAGTTGAGAAACCCCAATAAAAATAAACAATTTGACATCTAAAAATAATATTCAGTGAAATAAATGAGATTAAACAAAAGCCTGTGGGCCTGGCCGGGCAGCTCAGTTGGTTAGAGCATCGTCCCTATATGCCAAGGTTTCAGGTTCCATCCCGGGTCAGGGCACATGCGAGAAGCAACCAGTGAATGAATGCGTAAATTGGTGGAACCACAAATCCACGTTTCTCTGTCTCTCCCTCTCCTCCCTCCCTCTCCTTCTCTTCCTCTCTTTCTAAAAATCAATAAAAACATTTTTAAAAAGGCTGAATGGCAACTAAAATATAGACATGTGTAGAGAGAGACAGATAAAGCTCATCCCATTGGCATCCTACCTTTTATTTAAATCCCATTTATACATACAGATAGGAAATTGGCACTTCACCTTCCCCAAACTCGTGACTGCATGGCTCTGCTCGTATTTTGGCATTGATTTTGTGCAGTGACTGGTGATTTCACTGCTAACACACTGTCCTCAGACGCTGTTCCACCTCAGAGAGGCCAAAACAGGTTCCTCCGTCCTTCTGAGTATGAGTCTCTCTAGGAAGGGTGTTTGGGGAAGAAGATTCTGACTGACAGAAATCAGCCTGGGAGAGATGAGTTGAGATTATGAGAACAGTTCTGTCTCTGAAGATAAGAGGGAAAGGGAGTGGAGAGAATGGGGACCCGGAAAAATGAGGGGGAGGGGTTGGAGCTGAGCCAGAAACTTCCCACCTCCCTTTCTTCCTCCTCTAATGCCACACTCACAGGCATGTCTCCCCCCAGCCCCCCAATTCTAAAACAACTCCATTAGAGACTATAGGAGGTACAGGAGGACCCACGAGACCGGTGGGAAGCATAACTGATGAATACACATAAACCTCATGAGAAGCACAGGAAATGGGAACCATTAAAAAGGTTTGAAACAGGAGGGCCAGGTTCTTTCCAAAGGAATGTACCTTTGAGTCAAAAGGTAAAGGATCCAAATATCAAGAATTTAAAAATATCAAGAATTTAAAAATATCAAATGTGTGTTTCACACCAATACAGTGGCATTTTATTACTTAAAAATAGCATGGTGGGCCAGAA